GAACCCCAAGAAGCCATGGGAAAACTTTGCGCTGTTTCTTGGCTTAAGCCTCCTAGCCGATATTAGGGACCTGGAGCTGGGACTAGACGCTCAGAAGAAAATGGAAGGAAGCTTCTGCCACCTTAAGCATACACATGGAGGCAACAACCCGACAGGGACTGTGACCCGTGCTGCAATCACAGGAAATGGTTTCTCGTGCCTAGACGCCCTTTATGTTGTGTGGTTTTTACGCATTCTCTCTCCCTGGAGTCTGCTCTCAATTTTCCATTGAGGACAGTGGCTTAAATAATCTGGAACGGCTTTCCGTGTTTGTTTTCTTCCTGATTTGGAAGAGTTTCAGATGTCTGTTTTTGTTTTTCCAGATTAGGTTTTTGTTTGTGTTGTGAAGTCTGGGTTCAGTTATCAGATTCTTTTATTTGAATTCTCACTTTATCCAGCCTCAGTTTCCCAAATTAAAAAGTAAACTGTAGCCCTGGCCGGTTTGGCTCAGCGGTTAGAGCGTCGGCCTGCGGTCCGGAGAGACCCGGGTTCGGTTCCCGCTAAGGGCACGTACTTCGGTTGCAGTTTGTCCCCGGCCCTGGTTGGTTGTGCGGGTGGCAGCCATTTGATGTGTCCCTTCACGTCGATGTTTCTCTCTCTCTCTCCCTTCCTCTCTCTCCCTCCCACTCTGTCTGTACAAAAAAATGGAAAAATATCCTCGGGTGAGGATAAAAAAAAATAAAATAAAATAAAATATATATATATAAAAAAAAAGTAAACTGTAACCTTATAGGATTATTGTATAGACTAAATTAAATAACAGATGCAGAGTTCTTATCATTTAGTAAATATGTAGTGAAAGTTAGTTTGTGTACTTCTGGTCTTACACCCAAACAGGTGAGCACAGACTGCCCTCTCCCACCCCTATGGCTGATCAATATGCTGAAATTAGGGCAAAAATAAAGCGTCTGAGAAGCTGGGAGAAGTCTAGGAATGCAGGGCCTCCCAGGGAGGGGGCTGCAGGTCAGACTGAAGCTAGGTTCCAGGTGAGGACCCTAGAATCTAGAGGCGCGAGCTGTTTGCCCGAAGCTGAAAAGGGATGTGAGAAGCGAAACCGAACCCTCAGATGGGCAGCATCGAGGACCTGCTAGCGCAGCCTGTGCTGGTGGCTCTTCCTCAGGCACGAGTGTCTTGAGTGGCCTTGGAAAAAAGCCTGGACACTCAGGGTTCCAGGCAGAGGGGTTCCCATTAGGCTGCCCGGCTGCTCTTAGTATTTAGAGGAAATAGTGACTTCTGGGACCTTGGTAAGTGCCCCACTCCTCAGTTAGGACATGACAGAGACATTAAGGTGTGACCAAAGCTGCCTCTCTCTGGGACCTGGAGTGGGCTGGGTCCTCTTCTATGACCCTATTTTGGTGACAGGTTAGATGCCGTGGTGGTGGCCCTGTGTTCAGGATGTCTGGATTGGAGCTAAAGAGAAAGCAAAATTCTTAATCCCCCCCGATTCACACTTGTCACATATCTCCGAGGCGGCGGGCAGGACCATCTGGCCAGCCCGGAGTGTTTCAATGAGGTCACTCTCAGCTCCTTGTCCAGAGGATCATTAATGGCAACGGCCAGTGGAGGGGAGGCCTTAGGAGGTGATGAGGCTCACGTGATGGAGGCTTTGCGTTTGGGCTGGGAGGCCAGGCCCTTCCTGCTGTAGGTTCTCTTCAGACCCCCCTGCCCTGGGGCTGGAGGGAGTGATAAGGTGCAGACTTAGCCCAGCTGCTGAGGGCTCTGGGGGGGGGGGGTTGCTGGGGAGCAGTTATCTGAAACCACAGAACCCACACGCAAGCAGAGCTGAGGTCAGCCTTATCAAGGCGTGCCAGACACACGGAAAAGCCAGGGCCACCTGGTGGGGAAAGCATGGAGCCCAGCCCCTGCCCGGGGAGATGGCTGCGGCAGAGGCCATGCCGGAGCCCGGCCAGCTGCCCTCGACCCCTCCAGGAGGCCCGGGGCCTGGAGGCTGCTGGGTTTCAAGGTGGCCCACAGTGTGGTTCTGTGAGGCCTCGGGGCTCCACAGCCGGATCTGAAGGCAGCCCCGGAGGGTGTCAGAACAGCCTTACACACAGGCAGCAGCACGGCAGTGAGTCCTACAGGTTCACCCTGGGAGAATTACTTCTACCTGGGATGTTTACATTTAAAAACAAATGATTGATTTCGGTAAGGTAATTTTGCAAAGTAATTTGCATTTCTGTTTACTAGTAATAGTGAAATAAAAAAATAATAGTGGCAACAGAGAAATGTTTAATACTTGGGAAATGAACGAGAACTACTAAGAAAGATTTTAGCTCGGCCAGTGTGGCTCAGTGGACTGAGCATCGTCCCATGGACTGAGAGGTCCGGGTTCTACTCCCGGTCAGAGCACATGCTTGCGTTGCGGGCTCGATCCCCAGCAGGGGGTGTGCAGGAGGCAGCTGACTGATGTTTCTCTAATCAGTGCTTCTATCTCTCCCTTCCCCTCTCTCTAAAAAATCCATAAAAACACAATGGACATGGACAACAAAGCTGGGGACTGGCGGGGAGGGTGGGGGAGGAGGGTGTCAATGGGGGAAAAAGGAGAAACATCTATAACCAAAATAAATAAATAAATTTAAAAATCAATAAAAACATATACATATATATATATATATATTTTTCCCTTTATTGATTTTAGAGAGAGAGGAAGTGAGAGGGAGAGATAAAAACATTGATGAGAAAGAACATCGATTGGCCGCCTCCTGCATGCCCCCCACTGGGGATCGGGCCCACAACCTGGGCATGTACTGCGACCAGGAATTGAACCAGCGACCTCTTGGTGCATGGATTGATGCTCAACCCCTGAGCCACACCGACCAGACTAAAAATATATTTTTAAAAAAAGATTTTAATTCTCAATGAGAAAAATAGAACAAGACTTAAATAAATGGAGAGATTTATTAAGTGCAAATTAAAAGTATAAGTTTATTTTATACCTATTGAAGTAGCAAAATAATAAAACTTAGTGTTTATGTGCCTGTGGGGAAATAATCACACTCACATATTGGTACGTTTTCTGGAGAGCAGTAGTTCAAAATGAAACACAAGCTGCCAAGAAAATGATTGTGTCCTTTGGGGAACACTCCGAAAGGAGTAAATCGCAGGAAGATACTGACAGGAAGAAAGGTTATTTGTACAAAAGTAATTGTAGCAACACTATGTATATAGTGAAAATCTGGCCACAACCTGACCACCAGACAATTTGATAATGGTTGTGCAAACTAGAAAGTTTTAATATTCCATCGTGTGTGTGTGTGTATTTAAATTGAGTTTTAGAAAGAGAAAGAGGAGGAGGAGGAGAGAGAGAGAAAAAAAAAACATCGATTTGTTTTTCCATTTCTTTATGCATTCATTAGTTGCTTCTTATATGTGCCCTCACTGGGGATTGAACCCACAACCTTGGCATATCCGGATGATGCTCTAACCGACTGAGCTACCCATCCAGGGCAATATCCCATCATATTAGTAACTGTTAAAATCATAAATTTGAGGACTTTGGTGATACTTTAGGTAGCATAGGTAAGTTAAAAAGTGGAATGAATTTGTTATGTGGACATTGATAACTATCAAATTATGTTTGTGTAATGAAAACATCAGTGCTATCAGGACTTCTCAGTGATCTAAATCAGGGGTTAATGGTGACATCATTTGGAGATATTATTGAAAGGCAGATTTTGACTCAGTAGGACTGGGGTGGGGCCTTAGATTCTACATTTCTGACAAGTTTCCAGGTGCTAACTGGTTCTTCCACCACACTTTGAATAGCAAAGACCTAAATCTTTGCCATTTAGTAAGGTAGCCACTAGGCATGAGTGGCCATGCAAATATAAGTTAATTAAAATAAAGTAAAATAGAAAATTCAGTTCCTAAGTCTCACTAGCTCTATTTCAAGTGCTCAATAGCCGAATAGTGCTTATATCTAGCAAAGTTCAGATGAGAGAACAGTTTTATCATCAGAGAGAGTTCTGGTGGGGGTAGTGTTGACCTAAATCATCAGAGTCTTAAAGTGAAGGGGATTTGTATCTCTTTCTATAGAATTGTTTAAAGTATACAATTAAGAGCTTGTTTCATTTTTCTGTAGTCACAAATCATAAAGGTATATTGGTGTATAAAGATGTAGAATAGGTAAAGGAATGAACAATTTTGTATAATTAAAATCTCTGATAAATGGCCAGTCCGGTGTGGCTCAGTGATTGAGCGTCGACCCATGCACCAAGAGGTTGCCAGTTCGGTTCCCGGTCAGGGCACGTGCCCAGGTTGTGGGCCCAATCCCCAGTGGGGGGCATGCAGGAGGCGGCCAATCAGTGTTCTCTCTCATTGATGTTTTTATCTCTCTCTTCCTCTCCCTTCCTCTCTCTCTAAAATCAATAAAGAAAAAAAATATTTGATAAATGGAATTCTGTTTTCTCACTGACTCGGTTGTCAGACCTTAGATGTGTTATACTAATTATATTTTTGTCTCTAAGTGGGCAATTATTTCTAAAAAATTGGTTTCAGTTTTGTTGTTGTTTTTTTGCTAATTTTCCCCATTCTCACATTAATAATGTGGACTAGATTAGATATTGTTTAAAGAAGTATTGTAATAATTTAAAGTATAGATGTGCATAATTTTTGAAAAATACTCCCCCTCCCCCCAGGAAGTAGGGGAGAGAGAGAAAGGAAAAGAAAGATAGATCGGCTGCCCTCCTCACATGCCCCGACTGGGGATTGAAGCCACAACCCAGACATGTGCCCCAACCGCATATTAAACCAGCAACCCTTCGGTGCACCCCCAACCAATTGAGCCACTCCGGTTTGGCCATCAATTTATATTTTTAAAGTGTATTCTTTAAGCAGGACCAGCCTATATTACTTATCAAACGATATGGGTCTTGATCTACAATGACTAAAAATTCCCTGGGTGATTTCTTTTTTTTTTCTTCTGTGTTTTGGAAATCCTGACAATTGTCATTTTCTTTCAGAAATCTATGCAAATATTCTCACGATGTTCTCTCCGAAGAGAACTTTAGAATCCTGAAAGAACATCAGCTCTCTGGACTGAACAAAGAAGAATTAGCCGTGCTTCTGGTCCAAAATGACCCTTTTTTTATGCCCGAGGTAAGTTATGATTCCTTGGTTTAAATAGCAGGAAGAATAGCCCTGGCTCAGTGGTTAGAGTGTCGGCCTGAGGACCAGAGAGTCCTGGGTTGGTTCCCGCTAAGGGCACGTACTTCGGTTGCAGTTTGTCCCTGGCCCCAGTTGGGGTCTCGTGGGTGGCGGCCAGTCGATGTGTCTTTCTCACATCGATGTTTGTCTCTCTCTCTCTTTCACCCCTCTCTCCCTCCCACTCTCTCTGAAGAAAAATGCAAAAAATGTCCTCAGGTGAGGATAAAAAAAAAAAAGTAGGAAGAATAAATAATTGGTAGTGTTGTATTGCGGATGTGATGGAGTGGGACCGGGAAGTAACTCAAAGTTAGCACCAGGGTCTGCAGAGGGCAACACCAAAAGGTGGGTGTTGTTGGGTGACCTAAGAGATTCCAGCAATTTCCTTCCTGTTTGATGTTTTATAAGAATTTGAGTCTGGAATGCCTCCTCTGTTAGGCTGCTAGGGAGCCAGCCCTGTGTGAGCAAGTGTGATCTGAAGATGTAGTAGTAGGACTGATTGCTGCTTTATATCATGGTGGCCTCCTGGAAGAGGGGGGCTTTGAATGAAGGTTTTGGAAAATGACAGGGTATATTGGTTGAGGGTACAGGCTAAGCTGTTGTAACAAGGAGACTTGAAAATGGAGTGGTTCAAATAAAATATAATTTTATTTCGATGTCACTTGATGGTCTAGATCAGAGGTCATCAAATTACAGCCAATGGGCTAAATCTGGCTTGCCATCTGTTTTTATAAATAAAGTTTTTTTGGAACACAGTCACATCCATTCATTTACATATTGTCTATTGTTGTATTCTTTCTTTTTTAACATGTATTTTTATTGATTTTCAGAGAGAGAGTAAGGGAGAGTGAGAGAGAGAAACAGATGAGAGAGATTGATCAGCTGCCTCCTGCATGCCCCTTACTGGGATCACCTGGGCTTGTGCGCTGCCTGATGGGAATCCAGCTGGCGACCTCTGTGTGCATGGAACAATGCTCAGCTGAGCCACACCGGCCAGGGCCTTTGTATACTTTCATCTAGGTACTTGGATTTGTCTGTTTCTAGGAGTCCAAGGTTCAGAGGTCTTGTCTTGGGATATCTGTGGCCCTTGGCCTATGTGTGAGTCCGTGCTCCGTGGCTGCTAGCATGGGGAATATGCCTCACACACCCACCTTACTAAAGGTCCTGTTGGCAAACGCATCCTCTCCTTCTCCTTTCGCGTGGTCGTAAGGGGATGATAAGATAAAGACTCGTTATAACATGTGAGAAGACTGTTGACCTGTGGTCCACCTTCAGTCTAGTGTTAAACTTGGAGGTTTGGAAAAGTCACTCAAGGTCTGATCTCTGCTGCAGTTCTCCCAAATCACCAAGGACTTCTTATATCAAGTCCCCAGAAAGTAAGGGGAGTGGCTACTCTTCCTCCTCTAGGGAAGAGCTCAGCAATTAAGAACCTACCAGAAGGTGTTGTTAAGGGATCCAAGAGCCCATGGACAGCAGCACGGGGAGGGTTCTCTTAGGGGATGCTCTTGTCATCCTTACACCACACAGAGAGTCCAAAGAACGGGCAGTGTCCTCTGAGGCTCCCTTTCCGTTTTAAGAATTTGGTACCTATGATTAGTGGGTGGAGTGGGGAGGTTCATGCCTGCAGTTTATTTTTAGCTAATAACTAAATCGCCGGTTACCGCTGGTCAGGGTTAGGGTCACAGACTGGGAGACTGCACCGTTTCCTGAACGGTAGGAGTCCGAGGGCTGGTTCCATGAGTGTTAAATCAACCAGAGCTTCGGGAGCATGAGTGTTTCTTCGAAAACGCCGGGCAAGAGAAGTCTCTAAAGGAGTGTTTTAACTTGGGGGAGCAGAGCAAGATGTTTCTGTAGAGCTTTGGCGGGAGGAGGTCAGCCAGGTTTAGCTCCTTTCAAGAACAGTTGGTCAAGGATGGTCCTTCCATGTCTCAGAGTCCCGACTCTGTCCCTGACTACCTGTGTGATTGATCTTGGACAAGACATTTGATTCTGGGTCTCACTTCATTTGTTGTCTGGTTGGCATTTGTCCAGCTACACGTAGGAATGCCAGCAAGTGGTAGGCACGGAGTTAAATCTTGGGGGCATACTCCCAGCCCTAGAAAACTCAAAATCTGCATACTTTTTCACTTTGCCTTGACCTGTGAGAACCTAAAAGCATCTGACAGACCTGGCTTCCTGGCATATAAACTTGTCAAATGTGCTCATTAGAGGAAGAAATGCTTTTGTTTGTTCTGGCCTACTTAAGGCCAGGAGCAGTCTTACTTAAACATCAGCTTGGTAATTGGAGTGTTCAAGTATCATTTGTGGAGTTGCTAGTTGTTCTTTTTTGGCTAGAGCCTCTCGGACCCTGGTTCTCTAGCTTTAGGGTGCATCAGCGTCACCGGGAAGGTTGGTCACACACAGACTGCTCGCCCCGCCTCTGGCCATTCTGACTCTGTGGATACGGGGTTTGCGTTTCTCCTAAGTTTTCAGTGGAGCTGATGCTGCGGGTCGGGACCACACTATGAGATCCGCTGGTCTAGAATCCGAATGTGGATAATTGGCTCTAGAGGAATATGTCTTTGAATCAGGCTTTAGAGGTTGTCTGTGTGACTAAATCATCGTGGCTCGTGCCTGAATTTCTGTTTTTGCCACCCAGATAAATCACAGTGAACAGTGTCAGTCGGGTTGCTCCAAGTCTGTTGAAACATCTTATAAATATTTTGATCTTTAAGATTCTTCAGGTAGCTCGGGTGGTGTGGCTCAGTGGTTGAGCATCAACCCACACACCAAGAGGTCACCAGTTTGATTCCTGGTCAGGGCACATGCCCAGGTTGTGGGCCCGATCCCCAGTGGGGGGCATGCAGGAGGGGATGTTCTCTCTCATCAATGTTTCTCTCTCTCTCCCTCTCCTTTCCTCTCTCTAAAACAAAATCAATAAGGGGAAAAAAAAGATTCTTTAGGTAGTGATTCAAACATTTGCATCACTTTTTATATTTTGCCCAACACATTCACATATTTTTTTAATCACATTTATTTTTATTTTTTAAATTTTTTAAAATTGATTTTAGAGAGAGGAAGGGTAAGAGGGAGAGAAACATTGATGAGAGAGAACATCGATTGGCTGCCTCCTGCATGCCCCCCACTGGGGATCGGGCCCACGACCTGGGCATGTGTCCTGACCGGGAATTGAACCAATGACCTCTTCGTGCATGGGTCGATGCTCAACCCAGTGAGCCACACTGGCTCGGCCATTCACATATTTTATTATTGAATCTGCTCAACAGTGTGGATAAGGTAGACAGAGCAAATATTTTCCTCTTTCCCAGCAAAGGAAACAGGCTGGGTTTAAGTAATTTGAGTGAGGTGGTTCTAGCTCTGCAGACTTTTAAACTAGCGTCTTCCAGTCCTGTGTCATGTGGTCTGGCCTCAGGCATAATAAGTTTCTTCTGCCCGCCTTTCAGCAAGAACTGTATCTCTGTAGAGCTAGATCTGTAGATATATCTCTTTACATCGGTGTATAAAATTACCTTCTTTGGCCCTGGCCGGTTTGGTTCAGCGGTTAGAGCATCCGCCTGCAGTCCGGAGAGACCCGGGTTCGGTTCCCGCTAAGGGCATGTACCTCGGTTGCAGTTTGTCCCCGGCCCTGGTTGGTCGTGCGGGTGGCAGCCACTCGATGTGTCCCTTTCACATCGATGTTTCCCTCTCTCTCTCTCTCTTCCTCTCTCTCCCTCCCACTCTATCTGTGCAAAAAAATGGAAAAATGTCCTTGGGTGAGGATTAAAAAAAAAATAATAATAAAAAAAATTACCTTCTTTGGTTGATCTTTTGAGAAGCTCTGCCAGCAGAAACTAGAGTCTGGATTTTCACCAGTTGCAGGTAAGACCCACCTGCAGAACAAGTTGATATCCAGAGGTGGGCCTTCCTCCCAGGTGGTGTGCTTTGGGTCTTGTTTGGTCCTTTCTGTAGCTCACCATTTTACTTGGCTTCTTCCAAAGGATGATCAAATTCATGTTTCTTTTAGGGAGTCTGCAGGCCCTGTCTGCCCCAAATAAATCGAACAGTTGAATAGAATTCATTAAAGGCATGCATTTATGCATTAAAGGCATGAATACACATGCATTTTCCCTTCAGTATATCTCGGCTGGCTTCTGAAATTGTCGTATAGTGAGACTTTCCTTAATGAATGGGTGGCAGCTCCAGGAAGGGGTTTTGTCTGACTCTTTCTCTCCTCCGCAGATATGCAAAAGTTACAAGGGAGAAGGCCGAAGACAGATCTGTAGTCAGCAGGCGCCGTGTGAAAGGCTCCACATCTGCGAACACTTCACGCGAGGGAACTGTGGTTACGCCAACTGCCTTCGGTCGCACAACCTGATGGACAGGAAGGTGCTGGCGGTCATGAGGGAGCACGGGCTGAGCGCCGAGGTGGTGCAGAACATCCAGGACATCTGCAACAGCAAGCATGGCCGGAGGAGGCCGGGGCTGCGAGGTGAGCGCTCCCTCCCGCTCCAAAGAGAAATCACAGCCAGCAAATCCGCCGCCCGTACTCTGCCTCCCCACGTAAAACTCTCCGTTTCACCTTTCGTACCTTGTCCACGTTCACACACAATTTTTACACAATTAACCGGTGGGCTCCAGTGGTTTGCCTGGAAAATAATATAATAATGAATAAATAGGAATACAAGAATAAATTCTGCGTTTCGCGTACTCACAACTGTATAATCATGGTATATACGTGATTTTGCAATTTGACTTTCATGCTAAGCACTGTTCCCCCGCCACCAGCTTTTTATTTTATTTTATTTATTTATTTTTTTAATGCTCACCTGAGAATATTTTTTTCCATTTATCTTTAGATAGAGTGGAAGAGAGGAAGGGAGGGACGGGGAGAGAAAGAGAGAGAGAAACATCAACGTGAGAGAGATGCATCAATTGGTTGCCTCCTGCACGACCCTGACCAGGGCCGGGGACAAACCGCAACCGAGGTTGCGGTGCCCTTGACCAGAATCGAACCCGCGACTCTTTGGTCTGTGGTCCGATGCTCTAACCGCTGAGCCAAGCCGGCCAGGGCTACTTTATTATTGTTTTCTTATTTTTTATTTATTGTTGAAAGTATTACAGATGCCCTCCACCTTTTTTTTTTTTTTTAATTGTTGAAAGCACCACCAGGTTTCTAAAAATGTTTATTATTTATTTATTTATTTTTAATCCTCACCCGAGGATATTTTTCTATTTATCTTCAGATAGAGTGGAAGGGAGGGAGGGAGAAAGAGAGAAACATCGACCTGAGAGACAACATCGATTGGCTGCCTCCTGCATGCCCCTCACTGGGGATTGAGCCACAAGCTGGGCTTGTGCCCTGACTGGGAATCGAACTGGCAACCTCCTGGGGCATGGGTTGATGCTCAGCCACTGAGCCACACTGACTGGGCTGTTTTAACCATTTTTAAGGCAGTTCAGTGGCATCAGGTACGTTCACATTGTTGTGCAACCGTCACCACCATCCATCTCCAGAACTTTTTCATCTTCCCAAACAGATTCTGTGCCCATTAAGCAACAACCCCACTCCTCCCTCCCCCCAGCTCCTGGCAACCACTGCACTTGCTGTCTGTGTGTATTTGATTACTCTAGGAATGTCATAGAAGTGGAATCATACGGTATTTGTCTTTTGGGGAGTGGATGATTTTACTTAGAGCAATATCTTCAAAGTTTGAGAAACTTTCATGTTTCTGCACCATTTGACAGTCCACCAGCAATGCACAAGGGTTTGAACAGATCCACCTCCTCGACAGCACTTGTAATTTTCTGATTGTTTGGGTAATGGTCATCCTAATGGATGTAAAGTGAACAGTACTATTTCTTAAGCATTTTTATATTGTTTAATGGTATGAACACTTGGCAGTTTTTAATGTCTTTCTGAGGTGGATATTGAAGGGATGAATTTCGTGAAGCACACAGAATACTCAACTCTAAGATTCTATAAGAGGTAATAAAACAACCAAACCTCCGTATAGTTAAGAAATGCTTTATATTTACAAGGATGGGGCTTGTTGCTCAATGCAAAATTGTGGAGAAAAGCAGGCATGTTATTAGTCTCACTTAATGGATGAGGAGACTGAGTCTTGGAAATTTTAAGTGACTTTTATTGCAAGCAGCCTTAAGTCATTTTTAGAAGAGGGAAGGGCATTGCAACGAGTCAATAAAATAGTGTTTTCAGGGCCTCACACCACTAGCTAGTGGCAGGACCCTTGTGCCGGGAGCCCCACACCATGGTGCGCTCTCAACAGGGGAACATCTGGCGGCATGGTTTTTGGTGGTGTTTCCCAATATGAATTCACTCACTTATTTATGTATTTAAAAAAAAGTTATTTTTTTCTTCATTAATTTTTTTAGAGAGAGAGGAAGGGAGAGGGAGAGAGAGATAGAAACATCAATGAGAGAGAACATTTGTTGGCCGCCTCCTACATGCCCCATCCTGGGGATCAGACCCGTAGCCTGGGCATGTGTCCTGACCAGGAATCGAACTGGTGACCTCTTGTTGCACGAGTCAATGCTCAGCCACTGAGCCACACTGGCTGGGCTCATTTATTTATTTTTTAAAATATTATTTTGGGTTAGTTTCGGGTGTACTTTTGGGTTTGTTTCGGGTGTACGGCATAGTGGTTAGACAATCATATACTTTACAAAGTGTTCCCCACCCCTGGTACTCCCAGCACCCAGCTGGCATTGTACATCATTGTTACAACATTATTGACTCTTCCTCACTGTGCTGTACTTTATATCTTCTTGACTGTTTTGTAACTACTGATCTGTGCTTCTCAATCCCTTCACCTTTTTCATCCAGCCCCCCAAGTCCCCTGCCAACCATCAGTCTGTGGTGTGTCTCTATGCCAATTTGAGTGTATTGTTTATTCTGTGTACTTAACGCCAATATGAATATTTGTATGTGAGAGAGATCTTTATTATCACTTCTAGTTCATCTACTTAGTTAACTACGTTGTTGACAGGAGGTGAATGTTTGCTTTGACTGTGTTCCTGTGCCCACTGGGTTTGGAAGAGAAAGGACTTCTCTTCTCCCCCTTCCCCACACACAATAGCACAACTCACACACCACACACCGACACACTCACACACACTGCATACCACACACATGCACATCTCACCTGTGTATACGTCTCACACCAACTATGCATCATACATGCATGCCACATGCACACACTGCACACACACTCACACACACACACGTGCCTGTCTGTCACACACTCCCTCCTGTCGGCATCCTGGGGGTGTGACTCACGTTTTTATCGAGGCCAATTCTTTTTGATAACGCTCACTTAAGTTTGGCCATTGGGTGGAGCTAAGGGGGCTAGTTGAAGAACTTTGGGAAACTTTCTGGTTTAGGTGAAATTAGACCTTTACACTATCATTTCATTTCATTGTGAATTCTTAACTTGTTAGGGACGCCTACATCACAATGTGGGGGAAATCTAGAGGATTTTGGGAAAATCCTGCCTAATTTGCACTAGCCTGTCTCTCTAGTCACCATAGTGGTGATGGGCAGCCCCACCTAAGTGTTTGGGGGCCTGGGGCTGCCTCTGAGTCCCAGGAGAGAAGCTGAGGAGAGCCAGGGTCAGTCTGACTGCTGTCCTCATCCATGGGATGGTGTTTTCGGTTGTGCCGTAACCGGCCCTCTCAGGATTCTTACCCACCATCAGGACGAGTAATTTGATAGAACGTGGAGGAACAGTGGTGAGAACTCAGTCGTGTTAACGGTACTCTTCGTTGTTTCTGTCTTTTCCCAGCCCCTTCCTCCCGTGGTCGGGACCTGGCGTATAGAGGCAGAAGCAAGAGCAGAGATCGATTCTTTAAGGGCAGCCACGAATTTCTTGCACCCGTCCCAGCTTTGAGCGAGAGGTCCAGCACCCCTAGCCCAGATCATATCGGCCGCACGTCTCCCCTGGACGACGTGCTCCTGGAGGACCTGTCCTGCAGGTTCACGCGTCTGGGCAGTCAAGACGGCCCTCAGCCTTCCCCAGCCTCGTCCAAGGCCCCCAGTCTCGGAGGAGCCGGGCAGGTGGGAGGAAGCCAGAGGTTTTCGCAGAACGGCAGTCCGGAGGTCCTCTTTCGTGAGATTCACCTCACTTCTGATTTACCACCCGCTCCGCACTGGAAGGGCCCCACGCCCTGGCTGAATGACTCAGACACCATAATAGAGGATTTGTTTTCCCTGAAGGAGGCTGCCCTGTACTCTCCCCTTGGCTCTCCACGAACCCCTGAACCCTTGACCACCGTGAAGGATCTGGGCCTTCTTTCCCTGGACCACATGAATATCAAGGACAGAAGTGAGAACCCAGAAGTGCAGCCTCTCCCATGTTTTAATAATTTGGATGGAATGGTCCCAGATATCAAGAGATCTTTAGATTACGAAGCCACCGGACGGAGAAAAAAATCGTTAGGTTGGAATCAGGAAACCGGAACCACCCACCCCAATCTCGACACCATGATTGCGGAGGATAGTAAACACAGAGAGAAGGCATTGTGGGCTAGTAAGTCTGTCCACAATGCACCAGATGGCTCTGGTAAAGTCACATATGAACCTGTTGGTTTTGGCTTAACATCGGCAGTCAGAGAGGATAAAGATGTGTTAAGCTCTGGAAGCCAGAGTCCAAGGACCCAGGTCCTGCCCACGCGTGGAGAGACTCATGTTCCCACACGAGTCAGCACTCCGCCCAAGGTACCACCTTCCACACCTTCCTCAACCAGTCGAGCTACTGCCTGCGAGGACCATGGTCGGAACTCCGCTCAGAGCTCTGTCGCCTCGGCCACTGAGCTGGCAAGGGGGACCCCAAGCTCTGCTCTGAGTAAGTCACTGGAGGACAAAGGGGGGGCCCATGTCTTGTGGATGTTGCCCAGCAGTTATTCAAGGGCATCAAGTTTTGTTTTGTTTTGTTTTTTATTTTATTTCTTTTTTTTTTGTTTGTTTTTGTTTTTTTTTTCTATCCTCACCCGAGGATATTTTTCCATTTTTTTGTACAGATAGAGAGGGAGGGAGAGAGAGGAAGGGAGAGAGAGAGAGAGAAACATCGACGTGAAAGGGACACATCGAGTGGCTGCCACCCGCACGACCAACCAGGGCCGGGGACAAACTGCAACCGAAGTACGTGCCCTTAGCGGGAACCGAACCCGGGTCTCTCCGGACCGCAGGCCGACGCTCTAACCGCTGAGCCAAACTGGCCAGGGCTTTATTTTATTTCTTTATTGGTTTTAGAGAGAGAGGAAGGGAGAGGTAGAGAGATAGAAACATCGATGAGAGAGAACATTGATTGCCGCCTCCTGCATGCCCCCCACTGGGGATCAGGCCCACAACCTGGGCATGTGCTGTAACCGGGAATCGAACTGGTGACCTCTTGGTGCATGGGTCGATGCTCAACCACTGAGCCTCACCAGCCAGGCAAAGGGCATCAGGTTTTTAGGGTTTGGGTTAAGGGGTGGTATTGGAGAGGAGCCTGACATAGAAGATGGAACGACCAGCCAGTAGAAAAGAGTATGGAATAAACTCCTTTTATTGAGAACAGGAATAGTTGGATCACGGTTTAAGAAATCAGCATCAGCCCTGGCCGGTTTGGCTCAGCAGTTGGAGCGTCGGACTGCGGACCAGAGAGTCCTGGGTTCAGTTCGCGCTAGGCCCTAGCGGCTAGGGGCACGTACCAAAAAATGAAAATAAATCAGCATCACTCTCATGTGACCCTAATGTTCTTCTTTGCTTTTATGGAGGGCTCGTCATGAGTAACGCATCAATCAGTGTTCTCTTGAACAGGGCACAGTTTCAGATATTCTCTCCCACTGTGAGATCAGGTACCTTGTTTTTTGGTTTATTATTATTTTTTTAATCCTCACCCGAGGATATTTTTCCATTTTTTTGTACAGATAGAGTGGGAGGGAGAGAGAGGAAGGGAGAGAGAGAGAGAGAAACATCGACGTGTAGGGACACATCGAGTGGCTGCCACCCGCACGACCAACCAGGGCCGGGGACAAACTGTAATCGAAGTACGTGCCCTTAGCGGGAACCGAACCCGGGTCTCTCCGGACCGCAGGCCGACGCTCTAACCGCTGAGCCAAACTGGCCAGGGCTGTTTTTTGGTTTAAACATTAATATCAGCGTATGTGCATCTTCTTCTGTTTTACAGATTCCGTACCTGATGTCGCGAGTACCATGGATGATCATGGCTCAAAGGAAATTTGTCTTGACTATCTGTATAAGGGTTGTCGGCATAGTGAGTAACTTAAGGTTTTTCTAGGAGCAGACACTTTATATTTAGTTAGACATGTTAATAGTAATATGGCTAACATGAACTGAGCATTTGCTGTACTGCATCTTTAAACTTTCTATCAACCCTTGAAGTAGGTTCTGTTGTTAACCCATTTTACAGATGTGGAAACTGGAGGCATGGAGATGTTCAGACCTTATATACACAAGTAGCCAGGTTGGGTTTTGACCCTTAGCGGCCCAGCCCGCCTGTGTTCTTCACCAAAGCGTGACATGATACTTTCTACTTTTGCAGTTCAGTTTTAGGTGAAATACTATACTTGATCAGGGACTAATCTTTACTAAAAACAAGCAAACAACAAATTCAAAAAACAAAGGAATCCTAGCAGACATACTTTCAAAGTTCATTTCCTGTCATTATTTAGGCATTGTCTCTCTTAAGAGTCCTGTGCTGCACATGACCAGTGATCTGTTGGTCATTCAAGGTGAAGAGCCACACCTGGTCACTATCCCCTCCCACCAGGCTTCCTATAGAAATGACCCCCATGGTTCTGTGCTGGGGAGAAATTCCTGTCCTCTCATGTTTACATCACTTCCTCACCTTCCTACCTCTGTTCCAGGCTTGGACATCATGTCTGATTTAATTTGCTTGAGCACTTAGTGGTTTCAGACTCATTTATTTGCCGTGTGTCTGAAGAGGAGGTTTCTGCCCTGTGTTCTCTAAATCGAAGTCTTTAACTTAAAATTTTGTTTTTCTTTTTTTAAAATATGTTTTTATTGATTTTTTTAGAGAGAAGAAGGGAGAGAAAGATAGAAATATCGATGTGAGAGAGAAAATTAGCTGCCTCCTGCATGGTCCCGACTGGGGATCAAGCCTGAAACCCTGGCATGTGCCCGGACCTCGAATAGAACCGGGACCTCTCAGTCCATGGGACGATGCTCAATCCACTAAGCCATACCAGCCAGGCTGTTTTTCCTTTTTTTTTCCCTTCATTGATTTTAGAGAGAGAGACACATTGATGAGAGAGAACATTAATTGGCCGCCTCCTACATGCCCCCCACTGGGGATCGGGCCACAACCTGGGCATGTGCCCTGACTGTGAATTAAACTGGTGACCTCGTGCATGGGTCGACGCTCAACCTCTGAGCTACACCGGCCAGACCCATCTTAATACTTTTAAGTGTGCAGCTTGGGAGTGGTAATCACATTCATACGTAGTGCAGCTGGTCTCCAGAACCCTTCATCTTGCAGGACTGAACTCTGTCCCCATTAAACAGCACGTCCTCGTTTCCCCCTTCCCGCGCCTGGAGCCATCGTTCTAGGTTCCGTTTTTCTAGTCTGTTTTTTTTATTTTATTTTTTATCCTCACCCGAGGATATTTTTCCATTTTTTGTACAGATAGAGTGGGAGGGCCCTGGCCGGTTTGGCTGAGCGGTTAGAGCGTTGGCCTGCGGTCCTGAGAGACCTGGGTTCGGTTCCCGCTAAGGGCATGTACCTCGGTTGCAGTTTGTCCCCGGCCCTGGTCGGTTGTGCGGGTGGCAGCCACTCGATGTGTCCCTTTCACATCGATGTTTCTCTCTCTCTCTGTTCCTCTTTCTCCCTCCCACTCTACCTGAACAAAAAATGGAAAAATGTCCTCGGGTGAGAAAAAAAAAAAAAAAAAATCAGATAGAGTGGGAGGGAGAGAGAGGAAGGGAGAGAGAGAGAGAAACATCGACGTGAAGGGACACATCGAGTGGCTGCCACCCGCACGACCAACCAGGGCCGGGGACAAACTGCAACCGAAGTACGTGCCCTTAGCGGGAACCGAACCCGGGTCTCTCCGGACCGCAGGCCGACGCTCTAACCGCTGAGCCAAACTGGCCAGGGCCGATTATAAACTTTTGAATCTGCCAAATCTCAGGCATCGCCACTCTGTGGGTTTACCTTAGATGTCTACGCCTGTCTCTTTTCGTTTTAAAATAGTCACATCTTTTGGACATTTCGAAATGTCATAACATAAAGCATAATATAACGGACATAACATAACATTTAAACATATAATGAAAATTGCGAAGAACAGAACTATTTTTTCTATTCCTGTGTTACGTGCCTTTAACATGAATTCATTATTCAGCAAGCATTGATTTAAGGCCCATCTTTTGCACGCCCAGCCAGAGATAGAAGCTAAGCAATGACATCAACTGCTCTTTAATGAGTTTGTAATTACGTCCACACACGAGGACACTGCATGAAATAAGCAACTATACCAACATAAAAGCACAGACTGGGTACTGAGAGGTGGCTGAGGGGACGGAGCATACAAGTCAGATCACAACGGAGTGATGAGTGAGGGGATCTTTCTGGAGGAGAGGAATTATAGGCCAGGGTTTTCAGGAAAGTCATGCAGCGGCTCCTGCGGGGGAGCATTTTGTCTCCACGTAGCCACTTGGGAGGTGCAGGAAGGGTAATTGTAAATTTGTAATGACCTCAGGTTTTCATGTGGGTAAAGGGACTTTCTGGGGGCTGGGGAAGGTTTGTTTACCCATGAATCTCTGGGGAATACAGGAACCTGGAGATACGGATGTGGGCAGTGCAGGCAGCAGACAGCCTGAGCAAAGGTGTAGACAGAATGTGTCTCCACACAGGTCTGGAGGGTGGGAAAGGCAGGCCTTGAAGGAATGTCAGTGGTGAACTTGGTTGAATTGGTTAGAATCCCCCACATAGCCCACCCTCAGACCTCTCTGTCTTTCTAGAAGGCTGCAACAAAGTTCACTTCTACCTGCCCTACCGGTGGCAGATGTTAATTGCGAACGTCTGGATGGACCTCCAGCCCATGGAGAGTATTGAGAAGGCCTATTGTGACCCCCAAATCTGCATGTAAGTTGGTGGCTGGACTCTGGCCTGTGAGATTCACAACATCATCAAAGGAAAGCATAGTGCTAGGCTTATGGGAAGAAGAAACTATTTTCCATCAGAATCTTTTTTCTTTTTTTAAATTCCATTTATCATCAGGCAGAATGGGAGGGAGGGAGAGAGAGACAGACAGAAACATTGATGTGATAGAGCCACGTCGACTGGTTACCTCCCGCATTTCCTGACCAGGGCTGGGGACAGACGAACCGCAACCGAGGTATGTGCCCTTGACCGGAATTGAACCTGTGACTCATTGGTCCACAGGCCGACGCTCTGACTGCTAAACCAAACCAGCCAGGGCCAGAATCTCTTTCAAGTTTGAGATAAAAACAGCAAATGCCTACTGCATTAATGTAAAAAAAAACAAAACCCACAATAAACAAAAACCTGGGTAGATTTGAAGTCACACAGAGTCTGGATAATCCTAGGGATTCTGAGAATATTTGCCGACTCATGAAATAAACAGTGACACAATTATTTATTTAGTTAATATTTGTTATTGTGTCATACAGATAAACACAATGCAGAGGTTGGTTTATATTTCTATCAGCACATGATAGGACTATTAAAAGTCCTAACTGGCCCTGGCCAGTTTGGCTCAGCGGTTAGAGTGTCAGCCTGCGGTCCGGAGAGACCCGGGTTCGGTTCCCGCTAAGGGCACATACTTCGGTTGCAGTTTGTCCCCGGCCCTGGTTGGTCGTGCGGGTGGCAGCCACTCGATGTGTCCCTTCACGTCGATGTTTCTCACTCTCTCTCCCTTCCTCTCTCTCCCTCCCATTCTATCTGTACAAAAAATGGAAAAATATCCTCGGGTGAGGATAAAAAAAAAAAGTACTAACTGACTACCTCCAAAGAGCCTTTGGCTTAATTTCATAGTTTAAGAACATGATTTGAGCACTTTCCTAGAGTTCTAGTGCAGAATTTTGTTGTATACTTTAGCGTTTTATGTTTATGTTTGCTGTTTTCTCTCTCCTAGAACCTGGTATTTTTGTTTCTGTCAGGGCTGAAATGGGTGATACCACATATGACCCTATTTATAATATGCATCGTAGTTTCATAAGGAAATTCTTTGGGGCGGGGCTTACATATGTTTCATCATCTGCAAGTTCAGTGACTTTCTGTGGAGAGTCTGTTGCCGATTTTGCCACTAGGGGGTGGCATCAGCTATTTTCTTGTTTGTAGGTAAATAGCTGATGCCCTCTTAGGTAAATCAGAAGCAGGGTTTCTCAACCTTAGCACTATTTACTTTTGAGGCAGTAATTATTTGTTTTTTGGGGGTTTTTTTTGAGGTGGTGGTTTTGCTGCATTCCTGGCTTTTATCCACTAGATGTCAAAATGTCTCTAGACATTGCCAACTGTCCCCCTGGGGAGGAAAGCATTCCTGGTTGAGAACCACTGATCAAGGGGATGCTTCTTGGAGCAATAATTCTCAAAATGTTTATTCTCAGAGACCCTCTACCATGTTAAAATGTGCTAAGGATCCCAAGGAGCTTCTGTTTACATGGGTTATAGCTATCAATATTTATCAAAATAAAAATCAAAACCGAGAAAAATTAAATATTGATTTATTTAAAAAGAATAAACTCGCCCTGGCCAGTTTGGCTCAGCGGTTAGAGCATTGGCCTGTAGACCAGAGAGACCCGGTTTCGGTTCCCGCTAGGAGCACATACCTTGATTGCAATTTGTCCCTGGCCCTGTTGGGGTCGTGTGGGTGGCAACCACTCGATGTGTCTCTCAAATCAATGCCCCCCCCCCCACGCTCTATCTGAAGATAAATGCAAAAAAAACCCAAAAGAATAAACTCATTACACTTCAATATAAATAACATTTTATATAACTACTTTTATATAATTATGTAGTTATATGCATATAACTATACCTGTAGATGTGTATAACTGAAAATAACTGTTTTCCAAAACAAAAACATTTATTGAGAAGAATGTCATTGCTTTATATTTTTGGAAGTCGATTGTGAAATTGCACATGATGTAGTTTCTTTAAAACTCTACTGTGTACCTGTGAAAGTATGCAAGTGAAAAAGGCAAATAATGTCTTAATATTATGGCAATAAAGTGGATCTCACTGGTTCCCCTAAAAGGTATTCTGATAAACAATTGAAAACACTGACCTACCTTGAGTTTCTAACTCACTTTCTAATATTGAGCCAAGTTTTTTGTGAGCAGTTATTTATTTATTGATTGATTGATTTTCACTGATTTTTTTTTTTTTTAGAGAGAGAGTAAGGGAGAGGGGGAGAGAGATAGAAACATCAGTGAGAGAGAAACACCCATCGGCTACCTCCTGCACACCCCACAGTGGGGATCGAGCCCGAAACCCGGGCATGTGCCCTGCCTGTGAATCGAACCAGTGATCTCTTGGTGCCTGTGACGATGCTCAATCCACTGAGCCACACCGGCTGGACTACGGGCACGGTTTTATTTGGGATAGTTTTTGAGGAAAGAATATATTTTGTGATACCATTAAATATGTGGGGTGGGCAAGTTACATTACCTCTCTGTGTTTTACTTTTTCCTGTTATTTGTAAGATCGGCAGCTGTATCAAGAAAATCTTTCAGCTCTGAAATGTTCATTCTGTGCTTTTGTTAGGGAAGACCAGATTGTAGAAAACAGGTCAGTGAAGCATTTTGATTAACTTTAAACTTTTCCCCGTCAGCATTTCTATTGGAAATTTAAAGATCAATTTCCAGAAAATGATTTGTAATTTGAAGCCCATCAGACGTATCTCCACACCTTCATCTGAGATGAAATCGAACGGTTCTGTCTTCACCACAAAGTGGATTTGGTATTGGAAGAGTAGATCCAACAAATGGGTTCAGTATGGGGAGAAGGTGAGTTCTGTTCCTCCTGCGGAGGTGTGTGCTAAAACGCGACTCCAGGAGAAAACCATTACTAACGTGTTGGACGCCTCCATGGTTACCATGGAGCGTGGACGTGGTCGAGGAAGTGGCTTTTTACATTACACACAACGGTGTCGGCATTGTGTTTGCAGGCATGTACCCTGGTTGCAGTCATAAACAAAAACATATATTAATTATTATTTATTTATTTATTTTTAAAATCCTCACCTGAGGATACTTTTCCATTTAGCTTCAGATGCGGGGGGGGGACACATTGATGTGAGAGAGACACATCGACTGGCTGCCTCTTGCATGACCCTGACCAGGGCCAGGGACCAAATTGCAACTGAGGTATGTGCCCTTGATTGGAATTGAACCCACGACACCGTCTGTAGTCTGATGCTCTAACCACTAAGCTAAACTGGCCAGGACTTAATTATTTTATTTTATTTTATTTTTTTATCCTCACTCGAGGACATTTTTCCATTTTTTTGTACAGAGAGAGTGGGAGGGAGAGAGAGGAAGAGAGAGAGAGGGAAACATCGATGTGGAAGGGACACATCGAGTGGCTGCCACCCGCACGACCGACCAGGGCCAGGGACAAACTGCAACCGAGGTACATGCCCTTAGCGGGAACCGAACCCGGGTCTCTCCGGACCGCAGGCGGACGCTCTAACCGCTGAGCCAAACCGGCCAGGGCAGGACTTAATTATTTTAAAGAAATTGCGTGAGGCAGGAGTCAGCTGCATGCCCCTCTGTCCTCACTGCTGGGGACTGGGGTGGGATCTGGAGATAGCTTTCTGTGTATTGGTGCATACATGGACAGGGATGACTGCTTCCGGCGGGAAGAGAGGCGGGAGTGGGGAAACCAGAGGCCTGATACAGGGGGTCACTGGGATTGAGTCTGGATTCAGAGGGACGTGAAAGACTGGACCTGGGGCGTTTGAGGCTTACCCACATAGGGACATGCTAATTGGGGATAGAAGTTCAGATAAGCAGAGCTTCTGTCTAGTGTCCCTTCCTGTTTTTGAGTCATAGGATCAGAGAGAGAGAGAGAAAGAGAGAGAAAGAGAGAGCACACTTAAGTAGCCAATGAAAGCAGAGTGATGAGAACGAGATTAAAATATAAAACAAGAGATTAAAATAAAGCCAAACACAAAGCAGGGACTCCAGCATAAAGTTAGACATAGCAGCTGATGGGCTGTGAAGCTGGTTCTGAGCTGCCCAGCTGCCAAAGCAAAGAAACAAGATATTTCAAGATTCCTGAGTCTGGCCCGGCCGGTGTGGCTCAGTGGTCGAGTGCCGACCCATGCACCAAGAGGCCGCTGGTTCGATTCCTGGTCAGGGCACGTGCCCAGGTTGTGGGCCCGATCCCCAGTGTGGGGCATGCAGGAGGCAGCCAATCGATGTTCTCTCTCATCTGTGTTTCTATCTCTCCCTACTTCTCCCTTTCTCTCTCTCTAAAATCAATAAAGAAATAAAATAAAGATAAAAAACATCCCTGTGTCTGTTTGGGAAGAAACACCAGTTTCTCAGGAGAAGCAACACTTTTTTCTGTTAATGGGGCCTGAGAAAAACACCTGCTGTGGGGGCACAGAGAGGGGACGCACGCCTGCTGAGGTGAGCGTGGTTCTGAGCAGGACCCTACGGTCAATGCCGTAGCCCGGTGATTTCCCAGCTGTCTTAGCGTCCCGTCCAGGCTATCAAACAGTCTTTCCCAGAACCTCAGGGAGCACACTGGGGTAACAGAGCTGCCCTGTGGAGATAGGAGAGGGGCTCAGAGTGTCTTGTCCCCTTCCTCTTTGTTTGTCTCCTCTCTGCTGCGCTGGCCTCTGGAGCACCTTGGTGTGAAAACTCCCATGCTCTTGAGCTTTCTACAGGTTCTTTTTATGCTCAACCCAAGGGTGATGTCAAAGTAATGTTTCTTTTTTTTCTTATTTTTTTTTTTTTTTTATCCTCACCTGAGGACATTTTTCTATTTTTTGTTCAGGTAGAGTGGGAGGGAGAGAGAGGAAGAGAGAGAGAAACATCGATGTGAAAGGGACACATCGAGTGGCTGCCACCTGCACGACCAACCAGGGCCGGGAACAAACTGCAACCGAGGTACATGCCCTTAGCGGGAACCGAACCCGGGTCTCTCGGGACCGCAGGCCGACGCTCTAACCGCTGAGCCAAATCAGCTAGGGCTCTTTTTTTTCTTAGTGTTCCTTTTCTATTTTCTTTTTTTTTTTTTTATCCTCACCCGAGGACATTTTTCCATTTTTTTTGTTCAGGTAGAGTGGGAGAGAGAGAGAGAGAAACATCGACGTGAAAGGGACACATCGAGTGGCTGCCACCCGCACAACCGACCAGGGCCGGGGACAAACTGCAACCGAGGTACGTGCCCTTAGCGGGAACCAAACCCGGGTCTCTCCAGACCGCAGGCCGACGCTCTAACCGCTGAACCAAACCGGCCAGGGCTCTATTTTCTTTTTTTAAATACTTCTTTTATTGATTTTAGAGAGAGGGGAAGGGAAAAGAAGAGAGAGATAGAAACATCAATGAGAGAGAACTTAGATCGTCCACCTCCTGCATGACCCCTCTGGGGACCGGGCCCACAACATAGGCACCTGCCTTGATGGAATCGAACCGACGACCTCTTGGTGCATGGGTCGACGCTCAACCACTGAGCCATGCCGGCTGGGCTCTCTTTTTTAAAATATGTTTTTACTGATTTTAGAGAGAGGAAGGGAGAGGGTTAGAGAGAAACCCTCTCGGCTGCCTCCTGCACGGCCCCTACTGGGGATCAAGCCCACAACACCAGCATGTGCCCTGAGCAGGAATCGAACCTGTGACCTCCTGGGAATTTGCTCAACCAACTGAGGCACACCAGCTGGGCAAAGTACAGTTCTTAAAAGTGAAGTAGAAATTACAAAGTCAAGCTAATTAGCTTTGGTTAAAACAAAGATAAATTATAGGTCTCAATGGTTCTTTTGTCAAATACTTGAAATGTTCAGTAAAATAAGTGCAAAGGGTTGGAGAATATTTGCATTCTAGTGACATCAGGGTCCCAGAGACTAAGGAGAGCTTTCAGTGGGAAAGAATGGATGATCTGTGAGAACTTAAAAGAGATAGAAAGCATAAGAATGGACATAAAAATCATACAAAAGGCCCTGGCCGGTTTGGCTCAGCAGTTAGAGCACTGGCCCGAGGACCAAAGCGTCTCTGGTTCGATTGTGGTCAAGAGCACGTACCTTGGTTGCGGTTCAGTCCCCAGCCTTGGTCAGTGGTAAGACTCGTGCGGGAGGCAACTGGTCTCACATTGATGTCTCCCTCTCTCTGTCCGCCTCTCCCTTCCTCCCTCCCTCCCTCCCTCCCACTCTGCCCGAAGATAAATGGAAACTCGGGTGAGGATTTAAAAAAAAACAACAAAAGGAAATCATACCAAAAAAATAGTCAGAAATGAAGGATACAATATCTGCTCATATTGTAGGGGGCTTACACCCAATCTGCCCCTGGGCTGCCACTTCTACCATAAAATGGGTCTTGAGACTAGATATTATATCTTTATATTTTGGGGGTATTCCTCGTCCCTTTCATTATAGCCCCAGTCAGTGGCAAATTCAAGTGCCTTTTTAGTGTTGCTGACTGGCTGGTGGTCCGCCCATTTTATTTGCTCCCCTGGGTCAGTGCAGAGGGGAAGGGGCAGGTCCTTTAAGTCTGGCCGGCAGTGCACCGGAGCCTCCCCGGCGTCCTCGCCGTGTGACGGGCTAGTGTTGTCACCAGGCCCTCCGTGCTCGCGCGTTGTTCTGTCAGCCAGGGCGCACATGATGTCCACACTGTGGGTCTGAGTTTCCCGGTCCACTTGATCATATTTTATGGAAGGTGTAAAAAGAGGATTGCAAAGAGCTGTATTTTTCAGGCACACACCAAGCACGTACAGTTCCTACAAGGTAGACTGTTCTCTCCTGGTCCCAGGAGGGAGAAAACTACAAAGGGGGAGCCTTCACGATCTGGTCTGGGGGGCAGGACCCACCTTCCTTTAAATCTCGTGGCTAAACTAAAATTATGTAAGATGCAATGGTAGAGAGTTCTTAAATGCCTCCCATGAAGTCTTTGCTTTATTATTTTTTTTAAATTAGGGAGGTAATCAGCAAATTTCGAGCATCGACTCTGAGTACCTGGAGTCTTTCTTCCTCTGCTGTCCGAGGGGTGTCGTGACGTTTCATGCGGGTTCAGAGAACTATGAGCTGAGTTTCCAAGGTAAGAGTTTCGTCTGGCAATGGTGCCTGCCACCGGAATCCAGCAGGAGGGACGCTTGTATGACGAGAGCAGAGAAGGCGTGTGCGCTTCTCCCGGGATCAGGGTTCTCGTGAGCAAGACCAGCAGTGTGGCGCCTGGAAGCCAGCAGCTCTCAGAAGAACCCTGCCCTGGAGCCTTGCCTCTGACACATAGTAACGACGTAACCCTGGCCAACACTCTAACCACTGAGCACACCAGCTAGGGCTGGACAAGATTTTTTGTTCTTGTTAATCCTTACCTGAGGATATTTTTCCATTGATTTTTTTTTTTAAGTAGAGAGAGTGGGAGGCAGGGAAGGGGAGAGAAAGAGAAACATCGATGTGAGAGAGACACATTGGTTGCCTCCCACACAGGCCCCGACCAGGGCTGGGGAAATCGAACCTGCAACCCAGGTGCATGCCCTTGATCAGATATCAAACCTGTAACCCTGCAGGCCAGTGCTCTAACTGCTGAGCTGAACTGGCCAGGGCTGGAAAATATTTATTTTTTTGAATTTAACGTGCCTGTTAGTGTAGCAATGTATGCGTGTGGACCAAGACTAGAAGGCAACAGAGAAAAAGAAAAATCTCCTCGCTTGGATGTTGAAAAATGACTTAAGTTAAACTTTTCTTCCCTTTTGCTGGTAGCCTGTCATTTTGAGAACCTAAAAGGTGGTGGAGAGTTGAAAACCAGTGTTCCAGGTTCCTAAGTCTGGAGCAATTAGACCCATAATTTTGTTCACTTGCTTCAGAGAAAGCAGTTCAAAGCAGTTTGCAGGATTCTGGAGTCTTTTTTTTCTTTTTTTTAAATTAATTAATTTTTGTTACAGAGGTTTCTCCTTTTTTCGGACTCTTTTTTTTCTCTCTCTCCTATTTCTTACATTGTCTCATTCATTAAATGAGTGTGGGAGCATCAGCTGTGTGCCAGGCACTGTTGTAGACCTTGGCAAGCCAGGCAATTCCAGAAAGTGTTCCCAGCTTCGGGGAAAAGAAGCAATGTGGTGAACCAGCGAGAGAATGGAGTCTTGGCAGAGTGTCTCCTTTTATGGGAGAGGGAAACTTTGGAAGGGAGGGCTCAGCCCCCCAGGAGAGGGGAGACTAGCGCTGAAGCTATAAGCTGCAGACAAGCCTGAAGTTTCAAAGAACAGCAAGCAGGTCTGTAAGAAACAAGAGTAGACATAGAAACTTGGATGTTTTATGATCTGGAAATCACGAGAAAGTTGTGACATGATCTGATTTGTTCTTTTTGTTGTCGTGTGTGTTTGTTTCATTTCACGTCAACTATTCTGAATATCATAATTGCTACAATGAAATGCATGCCTTTTATTGTACATGCAACTTCTATCCTAATCAAAATAGAGAACTGTCCCAACAATACAAAATGTTTTCGCTTGCCCTTTTGAGTCTTCCCCCTGCCCCTAACTGATTTGCTTTCTGTCACTATAGATTTGTTTTATCTATTCTAGAACTTCATATAAATAGAATCTTATAGTGTGTACTCTGTGTACAGCTGGATTCTTTCACTCAGAATAATTTTTTTTTAGATTTAGCTATGTTGCATGTATAATAGTTCTTCCCTTTTCATGGCTGAGTAATATTCCATTATCAGGATATGTCTTTTTGTTGTTGTTTATCCATTCACCCCTTGATGGATGTTTGGGTTGTTAATAGGAACATTCAACTGCAAGTCTTTGTGTAGATATAGGTTGTCATTTCTCTTGAGTAAATACCAAGGAGTGGGATTGCTGGACCACGTGTACAGTGTATCTTTATAGGAAACTGCCAGGCTGTTTTCCAAAGTGGTCACTGGCAATATGCAACGATTTCCTTTTTAAAACAATCACTCTGGCTATAGCTTGGACCTAGATCTATGACATGCATGGGTTGAAGTAACATTTCACACTTGATGTAGAAAAAAATCCTTCAAAATATATGTAATGATTTATCATATAATCATTAATGCCTGGTGTTGGGCCGCTTACATGGATGATATCCTGTTACCTGGCTGCCCTGTAACTCTTCTTTACCATCTGACTTTGACTTGAAGATTAGATTAATTGCTAAATACTCGTTTACCTCTTTGTTTTCTGGGTCTTATAAAAAGGACAGTGAAGATGACGAGTTTTTATCATGAACACTTTCCATCCAAAAGGCTTTTCTCTATTCATAAAAATATATAGGTCAGACCTATGTTTCTAGCCTCTGAAAAATAACAATACATCATTTTTCTAGGCCTACTCCTTAATTCTTGTTTGTTTTCTTTGTTTCTGTCTAAAGGGATGATTCAGACAAACATAGCTTCCAACACCCAAAAGGAAGTCATCAGAAGGCCAGCCTTTGTGTCTGCCCGGGATGTGGCGCGGCTGAAAAATGGGCCCGAGTAAGTGTTCTGTGGCACTGCTTCCTGACAGATGTTTGAGATGGTCCCGCACTGAGCTCACGAGTCACTCATGAATCTGGAGCCTGTTTTCTTGAGATGTTCCTGCTGGCATGACACTGAAGTTCCCTTTCGCATTGCCTATGAGTAGGTGCTTGTGAAGCAGCACAGAGTGATGGGGAGAAAGCCAGAGCAGAAATCTGTCTTTCCCTCCAACTCACAGGGGGCACATATCTTAGCTGCTCTGGGGCTCAGCTTCTGTGGTTGTGAATGGCTGGATTAATGGGGTGCGCCTAGGAAATAATCAAAAGCACTGAGTTGGGTTTTTTTTTGCTGCGGGTTCTTCTGTGTATCCTTAGTTTTGTTTGAGGGAATTTATAGAGAGGGTGGTCGGCTGAGAAAGAAAGGGAAAGAGAAAAGGGTTGAGGGAGCTGCCTGAGCAAAGGGGTTTGGAGAAAGAGAACGTTGACAAAGGGGATTTTTAAAGGAACTGTTGCTGTGGGGAATTCAATGTAACTCTTCTTTGTGTGCGCATGAAACTCAGTAAAATCTATGTTATTTGTGAACATTTTTGGAGTTGGATTTTTTTTTCCCTGGAGTGATGTGTGATTATGTAAAATGGATTTCATGGCAAGTGCAAAATCGAGGTATTCTAATTAGGTTCTTTTGGTTGTAAGAATTAAGATATTTCACGAAAGAGGGAATTAGTAAAAGGATAAACATGGTGTAATAAGGAAGACATTTCCCAAGAATCTAAGGGTGGGCCTGGCCGGTGTGGCTCAGTTGGTTGGAGCCTTGGCCGGTGCACCGAAAGGTTGCCGGTTCAATTCCCAGGCAGGGCACACACTCAGCTTGCGGGTTTGATGCCCAGTCAAGGTGCGTGCTGGAGGCAACCGATAGATGTTTCTCTCTCCCATCAGTGTTTCTCTCAAGTATGGGAAGAACTGAGATGTGTCAGGGCCTTCGGAGTGGGAGTTGGTTCCAATTCTGATTTAGAAGCTGAGCAGCCTGTAATCAGGTTTTTTTTTTTTCTTAAGATTTTAAAAATTGATTTTTAAAGAGAAAGGGAAAGGGACAGAGAGAGAGAAATATCCATGTGAGAGTCGAACATCGATCAGCTCCTTCCTGCACGCCCCCTACCGGGGATCGAACCTGCAATCCGGGCATGTGCCCTGACTGGGAACAGAACTGGAAACATTTTGGTGTATAGGATGATGCCCAACCAACTGTGCCACACCCGATCTCCTAATAGTTTTCTCTGGCTAGTGCTTGAGTGTTTTTGTTTTTTAAAAATATTTTTTTTTCTTTATTGATTTTAGGGAGAGAGGACGGGAGAGAGAGAGAGAGAAAGAAACATCCATGAGGGAGAACATCGATTGGCCACCTCCTGCATGCCCCCCACTGGGGATCAGGCCCACAACCTGGGCATGTGCCCTGACTGGGAACCGAACTGGTGACCTCTTGGTGCAGGGTCGATGCCCAACCACTGAGCCACAGCCGCCAGGCGGTGCTTCAAGTGTTTTAACTTCAGAATTCCAATCTTCATGTCCCTTCAGCTTTACTTTCTGCCACTACTGCCAAATTTTCTCTGAATTTCTTTTTCTTTTCTTTTTTGCTGAAATGAACTTTAAATTTTATTTTTTAATTACAGTTTACATTCTATATTATTTTGTGTTTGTTTCAGGTGTACAGCATAGTGGTTAGATAATCATGTACTTTACAAAGTGTTCCCCCTGATATGTCCAGTACCCATCTGGCACCATACATAGTTATTACAATATTATTGACAAGATTCCCTATGCTGGACTTTACATCCCTGTGACTGTTTCATAACTAATAATCTGTACTTCTTAATCCCTCCACCTTTTCCACCCAGGCTCCCAGCCTTCCTCCCCTCTGGCAGTCATTCATCCGTCTGTTCTCTGTATCTATGAGTCTGTTTCAATTTTGTTTGTTCATTTATTTTGTTCTTTAGATTCCACACAAAAGTGAAATCATATGGTACAGTATTTGTCTTTCTCTAACTGACTTATTTCACTGAGCCTAATACCCTCTAGACCAGTGGTTCTCAACCTCCCTAATGCCGCGACCTTGAATACAGTTCCTCACGTTGTGGTGACCCCCAACCATAAAATTATTTTCGTTGCTACTTCATCACTGTAATTTTTGCTACCGTTATGTCTTAGGCGACCCCTGTGAAAGGGTCGTTCGACCCCCAAAGGGGTCGCGACCCTCAGATTGAGAACCGCTGCTCCAGGTCCATCCATGGCTGTCTTACTTTTAGTGATGAAGATGGGAGTGTGGGTTCAAGTCATTTCAGTCTGATCCCTCCGTTATAACATTCTCCATCGGATCTTCACGTAACGGTTCTAATAGCTATTGATGGTCATTGTTTAGATCCCCCTTCATGAGGGGTTACAAAATGTCGTTTTCTTCATTCTGTCAATGCTTCTGTAACTAATAGCTGTGATTTGTCTGCAAAGAAGAATTTTTTCTCCTGTATGGTTACCCTGAAATACAGTTCCTCAGCAGCAGGATTCTTCCCCCTGTACCTTTCAGGTACTTAAATGTGTATCATCTGAGAAAGAAGCTGAAGAAAATACTTAATGCTAACACATTAGGACTTTAGAAAGTTGAGCAGAACTATAAAAAAGAATCAGTGCCTTTACATTTTTAATGAATGGGAAAATAACATTTAATTAATTTACCAAAGTTTGAATAATTTCTGCACTTTTTAAAAAAATTATTACTATTTTTTCCTTTATTCATTTTAGAGAGAGGAAGTGACAGAGAGAGAGAGAGAGAGAGAGAGAGAGAGAGAGACATCGATGAGAGGGAACATCGACTGGCAGCTCGAGAGAGAGAGAGAGAGAGAGAGAGAGAGAGAGAGAGACATCGATGAGAGGGAACATCGACTGGCAGCCTCCAGCATGCCCCCCACCAGGGATTGGCCCCCAACCTGGGCATGTGCTCTGACCAGGAATCAAACCGGCGACCTCTTGGTGCGTGGGTTGACGCTCAACCAGTGAGCCACACCGGCCAGACAGTTTCTGCACTTTTAAAAAAACATGATTGCTGGTACATCTTTATCAGAAATATGCAGGTATGTAGTCCAAAGAAAAATGCTCAGTGTTGAGCATCAACCCAAGAGGTCGCCAGTTCGATTCCCGGTTAGGACACATGCCCAGGTTGTGGGCCAAATCCCCAGTGGGGGGCATGCGGGAGGCAGCCAGTTGATGTTCTCTCTCATCGATGTTTCTCTTTCTCCCTCTCCCTTCCTCTCTCTGTAAAATCAATTAAAAAAATTTTTTTTTAAATGATCTGAGAAGCCTTGGCTTAGTGGCTGGAAGTTAAGGACAGAAGTAGTTGCGCAGCTGGGACAGGAGGCCAAGTGAACTCGTACTCTCTCTTATTTGTAGCCAGAAGCCGGCACAGACCCCGCCAGAGCCTTTAGGGTCAGTTCGTCTTCCTCTGCAGGAGTGTCCCTCCCCCCCGGTGAATGGATATGAGGTACTTGGCTTTTACTTTTTGGTGGGTGACCGTTGGAAAGAGGGGGAAAGCACTTTGTTACAAATGTGTGTCTTTGTTGGAATGAAAGAATCAACTGCTTCTGTCAAACTCTTGGGTCAAGATTCAAAGGCGGGTGGCTAAAGGGTGGTGGTGCCCCTTTCCCGGTGAACAGCCACCCTCCCCTGGGAGCCTCGTTGTCTGCAGAGTCCCGCCACACAGGGTCTCATTGGGGCAGACCTGATGACAACCTTGTGACTTACTGTATGGGTTTGAAAACTGGAACTTGGAGAGTAATGTGACTTGTCCATTAGATGGAGTTTGAAAGCTGCTTTCAAGGGGAGTCACAAACTATGCCTCACCATGTCACCGAGCCTGGTTGGGGCAGGACTTCCTCCATTGGTTGGATGGCACATGGTGCTCAAACTTAGGGTACAGGCTGCTTGGCTTGGACTGCATGGGCACCTTCAATGCCTCCACCCTGCACTGGCTTTAGGCAAGGAACTCGCTAGACCAGTGGACTAAATCAGACACCTTGGGGGCCTCCCTTTACCTTTCAGAATAATGCTTTGTTAGCCATGTCAGCCTGAAAGATGGGCCTAGTGCCAGCCAGGTGGGGAAATCTAAGCCAGCTTATCCTACCTGCTGTCAGAGGCCTGGCAAGGATATGCTGTGGTATAGTGGGCCACACACGTGGACGTGGCGCACTCGAAATGTTTCCTGTTTCACATTTTTCTATTTTTTAATTATTTTAGTTGTTAGAGATCAATAACCAATACATGGAATATGTCAGAATAAGTGAGTATTTTAAAGCGACTATGAAAAATGTCAAGATTGAAAAGATCAAGAAGCTCAAGAATGCACAGCTCTTGAATACTTTTGAAAGGTTGGTGGCCATGTGATCAAGTGTTTTTTTACATGGGATTGAAAAGGATCAGTCAAGGTCTATCCTTTAAGATTTATAGTCACTGGTTTCTTTTCGTCATCAGCAGTTTCTTTGCTCTCCAGTTTTCATTGTCTGACCTCAAGCTTCTATCTTTCAGCTTTAGTTTGAAAACTCAGTGATTTCATGTATCTGTAAAAGTCTCATAAAAAACTTTTTTTTTTTTTTTACAGTTGTTGTCTTAAATGTAAATAGCTCCCCTTCTGAACGTTGGTGAAATGAAATTTTAAGACACTTAGACTATAATTGGCATTCATGTTATTAAACCAGAGCGGGCGAGGAATGTTCTCGGTGTTAAGTTTCACATTTCCTGTATTATTAGGAAAAAAATGAAGATGGAGAGGATCAATGAAAAAATGCTCTTTTGTGCCACAAACCGTGACCACGTGGATTCTATCTGCTCGGATAATTTTGACTGGATGTTGCATGGGAGTCCTGACGCCGTATATGGAAAAGGTTTGTGCTTGAAGAGAGAAGCCTGGCTCATGGTCATAACTCAGGCTCTGCATAAGCTTCTGTTATGAGGTATATGTGATTCGTTTGTATTAACCACGCTTTTGCGGTCATGGAGGGAAAACAAGCTCGCCTGAACCTTAATGGTAAATTGTCCTGGACTTGACTGCTGCACCTTGGTCCTGTTTCTGCCTTGCATTTTCTTGGAAGAGAAAATTTCCCTTTTTCATGAAATACCTTAATTCTCAGAGACTCTTTGATCTCACACACACTTGCAAACTACGCCACCTGCTGGCTACATGGTCTACCATTGTTAGTTCTGGCCGAGGCTCTTCCTGACCTATGTCCGTCCCATCGAAGCCATCTGAAGTAGCTTCTACTGCCATGGGTGGGTTTCAACAAAGATGGGAGAAGAGTCCTCTCCATCTGAGGCCATTCTGGGTCACCTGGGGACTTTAGTCATATGTATCTGCCCCTACACAAAGTCTCTTCTGCTCTTTCTGTTTGCTCCTAACCTCCCTTATGCAGCTCATAGAAACAAACCAACACAAAACAAAGAAGCTCTCGTCTTAAAGGAACAAGTAATAGTTTCTCAAGGTTCAAAGTGGGCTCAACTTGTACAGCTAAGATTAAATTCACCCCACACCACCCCCTAAAACTAAAGCAGGAAGCCAGTTAGTCAGCCAAGAAATAGTTTTGAGTGTCTGCTGTATGCTGGGGACATAATGGTAAACAAATAAGACATGGCCCCCCATCAATTATTTCACAGAATTAATCAAATGCTTGCTTGTGAGGCTGTGGAGGGAAAGAATAGGTCCTGTGGACACCTAACCCAGCTGGAGAGGTGTTCGCAAGGAAAGGTGTGTATGGGTGTTCACCTCCTAGAGTCAGTGTGTAGAGTAAGGGATACGTGGTACAAAGTATGGCTAACTGTAGAGTTTAGACTTTTTTTATCCTTACCCGGGGACACTTTCGCATTTATCTTCAGATAGAGCGGGAGGGAGAGAGGGAGGAAGAGAGAAAGAGAAACGTCAATGTGAGAGAGACACACTGAGTGGTTGCCACCCACACGAACCCAACCAGGGCCGGGGACAAACTGCAACCGAGGTACGTGCCCTTAGCGGGAACCGAACCTGGGCCTCTCTGGTCCATGGGCCAACACTTAACTGTTGAGCCAAACTGGCCAGGGTGAGTTTAGACTTTTAACCTGGGGAATGACTTGGTGAGAATTTCCTAAGTTCATTAAACTGAGATGCATCACTAAAACTTGCCTAGAAATGTTTGCGGAAAGTGGGTAACCATCTTGCGTGAGATATAATGTGTGAAGTTTAAACCCATCAGTTTTTCAAAGTCTCTCTATGCCAGAACTCAGACACTGATCTTAGAAAATGAAATACAGTACATAGGCATCCCCGTACCTGGCTTCGTCTATTCCTCCTCTTTTATAAAGAGACGAGTACTGAAACCCTCTGAAATGGGTTTTATTTATTTACTTATTTTTATTTCACCTGAGGACATTTTTGCATTTATCTTCAGATAGAGCGGGAGGAAGAGAGAGAGAGAGAAACATCAATGTGACAGAGACACATCGAGTGGTTGCCACTCACACGACCCCAACCAGGGCCGGGGACAAACTGCAACCGAGGTACGTGCCCTTAGTGGGAACCAAACCCGGGTCTCTCTGGACCACAGGCCAACGCTCTAACCACTGAGCCAAACAGGCCAGGGCTTGTTTGGATTTATTTTTAATGTTAGCGCTCTGTTCTCATCACCCCTGATGCTACTAGTCCTGGCTAGATACACTGGTGTGAACCACTGGGTCCAGTATCTTGAAAAGGTCAGGCAGTTATCCTAAAAGAGACCAAGTGGTAGACTGCAAAGATGCTGCTCTCTGAGGGGGAAGAAAGCCCCCTGGTGCACGTGTGAAACCACTCTGGTGAGGCTGTTATCTGTGCAGTTTCGTATGTGACTGTTTAAAGGGAATTGAACAAATAAGCCATGCCTGGGAAAAGAGAAGGGCTCTGGGCTCTCTCCTTATACCCTGGGGGTGCAAAGTAGGTATCTACTGGGAGATGGAGGATGACAAAGGTTAGTGAGAGAGTTCATAAGAGCTAGAAGTTAGGCTGCAACTGCCGATCCGTCAGGACCGAGGATGAGAACTCAGCACTTAACTCCATAGTCAGAGGAGATTTTAAAATCTGAGATTTGGATAAAAAGTGGAAGCAAAGTGAAGTTAGGAAAAGAAGCACATGTTTGGGAGGTCGCTCAGCAAGGAAGGATTCAAGAGGCTAGACAGGAGGCATGTAAGGCCAGGGAACGTATTTAAGATGCTGGGTGCTGCCACGTATCACAGCTATAAGACCTCCTAAGATTCTGCAACCTAGGCACTTCAGGATGCTAAATGATTAGAAAGAAACAAAAATATCATTTTTCCAGATAATATGAATGTCTACATAGAAAACCCGAAAGAATCTACAGAGAATTGGAATGCTGGTGCGCTACCCTGGCGGTGAGGCATGTCCTTCCCTCGGACATGGACTCCTCGGACATCAGCAGCTGCTAGCCCAGGCCCTGAACGGTGGAGCCCCAGGCCCCTGCATGACTGAGTCAGAGCCAACTTGACCCTTTTTGACTCTCAACCTAGTGAGGGTTCTTTTCCCTGGTCTTATTCAGAGTGCTGTCTAGTTAACAAAACTCTATTTTTTGCAGTGCATTTCTCGATCCTATCGATCATCAGAAGCTGACCATGATTCTTTCTCCGTCTAGAGTCCTAAAGATTCTAATTCTCTCCGATGCAAAGAATATGTCTGGATGTGTCCAAAAAGGGAAAAAAGCCCAATGTCGTTGACCCTATTATCCCATTACGTCAATGAAGGAAAATATGAATAAAGTAGATTTTAGAAAGTCAGCATATTGGGTTGATGCTCAACCACGGAGTCACACCAGCCGGGCTTGATGCTTCATGTTAAAAATTAGTCGTTTAGGGTAATGACTCCTGTTTTGAATGGAGAATGATAAAAATGTGCTCCAAAGATCGATAATACCTGTATAAAGAAGCATTTGCCATTGACTTCACAAGTCTTTCTTTGAGCTATCATGGGGAGACAAAAATAATCGGAGAATCTAATCAGCACTCAGGCTTGCTTACAAATAGATAAAAAAATTGATTGAACAAGTATGAAAGTAAATCTGCCAATTAAAACATGTACAACTACCTCTGAATATTCAAAGTAGATTTTATGGCCTTATTCAGCAATTAAAGTGCACGCTAAAGAAAAATATGGATGGAATGACAGTCTGTTGATTTCATTTCATTTGCTTTAAGTCAAATCTTTTTTTTTTAATCCTCACCCAAGGATACTTTTTTTGCATTTATCTTCAGATACAGCAGGAGGGGGGGTGGGAGGAAGAGACAGAGAGAGAAACATCAATGTGAGAGAGACACATCGACTGGTTGCCACCTGCACAACCCCCACCGGGGCTGGGGACAAACTGCAACCGAGGTACGTGCCCTTAGTGGGAACCGAACCCGGGTCTCTCTGGTCTATGGACCAACGCTCTAACTACTGAGCCAAACCGGCCAGGGCTAAGTCAAATCTATTTTGACCTGTGATTCCATACTATTTATTTTACACATAACTGGAATTCACTCCTCTGGACATGTTAGCTTTCTGGAATGTAACTCAGAATCTGCAGGAACGAACGATTGTGTTACGGTGGCCTGAGTTGTTATAAAATTCCTGTACTGCAGATCATGTATGTTTATTCTTGGCGGCTCCGTGGAATCCACTCAGTCTTGTTTCAGAAACAGTAGTTTTTTTCCAGCCAGCAAATGTGGAGTGTGGGAGTAAAGAGATGCTAGAGGCAGGTGGCAAGAAGAAAGTGAACAGCTTTTGAGTGGAGGATGAGAAAAAATGATCTGCAAGAAGCAGACACAACATTTTTTTTTTTTTTTCTCACGCTGTGGCCACGAGCATGGCAGCAAATGGCTCAGTCCAACCTTAGTAACTCCGGAGGGCCGCCCTCTGTTGTAACAGCACCTGTCAGAATTCTATCTGCTTCTGACATTTCAGTAAAAGAAGGGGTAAAATGAGTTCTACTTTTTTTTTTTTTTTTTTTTATCCTCACCTGAGGACATTTTTCCATTTTTTGTTCAGGTAGAGTAGGAGGGGGAGAGAGGAACAGAGAGAGAGAAACATCGACGTGAAGGGACACATCGAGTGGCTGCCACCCACACGACCCAACCAGGGCCGGGGACAAACTGCAACCAAGGTACATGCCCTTAGCGGGAACCGAACCCGGGTCTCTCTGGACCGCAGGCCGACCCTCTAACCGCTGAGCCAAACCGGCCAGGGCTGAGTTCTACTTTTTAAATCACAGAAATGTATATGCCATAGAGAGATTTCTTTTCAAAATAGCTTAAATTGATTTGCAGTTCTGGAAATGGACATAAGAGGAATAGTTCTTTGCAGACACTTGAGAAATGAGGTATGACTGGAATACGATGTAGTGAGGTGGGGAGTGTGACCCAGAATACGTAGTGGGTATTCGTCACAGTGAGAAACAGCACACAGAGTGCGCGCAGCCTGGGCGTTTGCTCATGGAGGCTGCCGCAGCCGGTACAGGATGCAGGTGAAATTGTTGGTCTGTTAAAACTGAGGAGCTGGAACTGGCTGGGATAGAGTCATCGGTGGAGTGAGTGGGTGGCCCAATAGACACGTAGTAGGTTGGTGATTTTTGTTTGTGTGCTGGTCATTTTCCTCTTATCTACTGGCCCACCTTATAAAACTGTAAAAAGATCCCAGTGGACTTACTCCATAATATAGGCTTGTTTTGGTTACACATCAATAAGAGAAAGACATACAATACAATAGGAGGGCAAAACAGTGAAAAAGCTTATGAAATAATGCCAATAAGCATGTGAAAAAATGGTCAATATCACTAATATTCAGGGAAATGTATATTAAAATTAGATATTTTGGGGGCCCAGTATATTGAAAAAATTAAAAGGATAGATAATATCCAATGTTGTCAAGGATGTGGTGAAACAGGACTTTCTTCATTAAAAAAATTTTTTAATTAAATTAAAATTTTTTGGTCACCATTTTTCTCCCTCTCTGCCCTCTCTTCACTGTTGATGATAAAATTTTTAGACCATTATTTATTTATTTATTTTTTTAGACAGAAAGGAAGGGGGAGAGAGAGAAACATTAATGAGAGAGAAACATTACCTGGCTGTCTCTTGCACTCCCCCTACTGGGGATCAAGCCCAAAACCTGGGCATGTGCCCTGACTGAGAATCGAACTAGTGACCTCTTTGTCCATGGGACAATGTTCAACCACTGAGACACACTGGCTGGGCTTTAGGCAATTTTTTAAGGGCAATTTGCAACATCTGTCAAATTTTGTTATGCTCATGTCCTTTGACTCAGCTGTTATAGTTTTGCAATCTTTTCTGCAGAACTACTTATACAGGTTATCAAAGATATATTTACTAGGATGTTTTAAGCACTTATTTAGAAGTGTTTTTGGTAATAACAAAAAGTGAAATCAACCTATGCTTTCAGTAATGCAGGAATAGTTACATTAAGGTACACATGAAAACGAACAAGATGGGGTTAGATGCACTGATATAGCAAGATTTCTAGGGCTAAAGTGGAAAAAAGTTGCATAACAATTCATATAGTATGACCCTGTTTATGAATGCATGAAAATAAGACCATATTAGCCTCTATGTGTATATATGAATGTAAATGCCAAGGAACAGGTGTGAGAATTCCCACCAAGCTGTTGTCTGTGTTTGTGAAGGAGATGGTAATGGTAGGTCAGTGTAGTTGGACTCTCATTTATTTTTTTATCCTCACCGGAGGACATTTTTTTTTGTTTTTTTTTGCATTTATCTTTAGATAGAGCGGGACGGAGAGAAGGGGGAAAAGAGAGAGAGAAACATTGACGTGAGAGAGACACATCAAGTGGTTGCCACCTACACCCCAACCGGGGCCGGGGACAAACTGCAACCAAGATACGTGCCCTTAGCGGGAACCAAACCCAGGACTCTCTGGTCCGCAGGCTGACACTCAAACCGCTGAGCCAAACCAGCCAGGGCTTCAATATATTTTTAAAGGGCAGAAAAGCACGTGGCAATGATAAAAATAAACATAGGACATTTTAATTCATGAGGAAATCATTGTTGATCTGTGGAGTATGGACACCTCAGTGATCATCAGGTTGTTTTAGAGTTGAGGATGCTGGATCAAGTGTCTGAAAGCTCTGCTAGGGTCAGTCTTTGCTCATTTATACCTCTTCCTTTCACATTTTCACGACCTTTCTCCCGTAGTAAGTCACCTTTGTTCCTTACAATATTAAACGGCCTCTGCTGGAATATCTTTGGTTCATCAGTTACAATTCAACTCACCCTGCATGAATTGCATGAATCGGGTCATTGTGTTGTCTCCCACTTGGTCATTGCACCCAGTGGCTCCCACCATCATTGTCACCCTGCACAGTGGCAAACGTTTCTATTATTCCAGTAGGGTTATACACTGTATTCAAGTTTACTTGTATAGTAAACATCTTTTAAGTACAAAGCAAAGTTTATAAGTATCAGTAAAGTATTGTTGACATATCCTTAGTCCAGCGATTTTCTACCTTTTTCATCTCATGGCACACAGAAACCAATTACTAGAATTCTGCAGCACACCAAGATAGGTATCCTTTAGATTCATTCACACCAGACAGCTATGGTTGTGTTGGCTGTTGTCGACTTTTTAATTTAACAATCTAAGGGAAAAGAGTTCAGTGCGCCTGACTAAATAGTCAGGTGTTACATGTTTTAAAAATTCTTGCGGCTCACCGGTTGAAAATTGCTGGCTTAGTCAATGCCCATCATCTTATTTTGTGTAAATAATCTTGTAAATTACATACCTTCTTTTGCAATAATTCGTAACCTTTTTTTTTTCTTATTATTTCTAGGAAATTACTTTGCAAGAGATGCCATCTCTGCCAATAAAATTTGCCCGCATGATCTCAAAAACACCGTTATGTTTATAGCCCGAGTCCTGATCGGAGACTTTACTGAAGGAAAGAGAGGTTACACGAAACCTCCACTACCGTATGACAGCTGCGTGGATACAAGGAGGAATCCTTCCATTTTTGTAATCTTTCAGAAAGATCAGATTTACCCAGAATATGTGATTGAATATGTGAATGAAGATAAAGCCTGCGTGATAAGTTAGAAATGATGAGTATACCGTTATAAAGGTCTGATGCCACAGTCCTTCCGTTCTCTATGGAACCAGATTGCTCCAGACAATAGCTACATCTCCTCACCTGACTATCAAATCCTTAGATCAGTGGTTCCCAAACTTTGAATCATCTGGAAACTTAAAAAAATCCTAACGTCCAGGATGCATCCCCTTGCAACTAAATCACTGTTTGTGCGTGTGGGAGCTGGGCAGTGATTTGTGTCAGAAAGTTTGGGAACCACTGCCTTAGATGTAACCGGTAAAGGCCAATTTCTAAAACTTCTGTGATTGTAGCAACTGCTCTCTTCCCACCTGTTCTCATAGTTTACTGTATGTCATCATTTTGTTTTGGTTAGGTTGCAAAAAAAAATTAATTTGGGAACTTTGAGAGAAATTTAAAAATGCCTGTTGAAATGACATGAGACAGTACAGTCTTGGATGGAAGATTGTGTAAAGTTGGGGGGGGTGCTTAGGAATATGGGGGAGGGAGGGAAGTAAAGATAATTTAAATGATATTATAGACAGCTACATTACTGTACTGTTGTAGTGAAACTGATTTGGGGCATACATTTCGTTATCTCTGCGTTTATTTAGGGGTCTCCATCGAGGTCGACTCTGGAATTCAGTGAAAAGAGTTGCCAAGTGTGGCTCAGACAGAAGCACTAACTCAAGTTAATGGCCTATTTGGGCTCTTTATATAATTATGGTAAAGTAGGCATTTATATTCTAATCAATATGATTCCAGAGAAGGCTTTCCTCAGGTCGGACTTTCATGAAGTGTGTGCGTTTTGGGAGTGTTGAATGCAGTCACCAGAGTCACACACGCATGACCGATGAACCTGAGTGCTCCTGTAGTTGTTCGCTGTGGCAGATGAGGCTCACCTAGGAAACGGGAGCAGGGCCTTCCTGTTGAAGGATAGGCCCCTTAAGGAGTCGAGATTTGTTTCCTGGTGAGCACAGAATCAGAACAAAGAGAACAATGCCTTAAACAGGCATTACCCCTGCAAGGGGCTTCTTTTTTAAAATATAACGGATACTGTGGAATTATAGTACAGTCAGTTTTTAGAGCATTTGAACTGCCTGGATCAAGTTCCTTATTATGAGTCAGGTTTGCCCTTCCAGTTTTTCTTTTAAAACAGTCCCATCCTACCCTGGCCAGTTTGGCTCAGTAGAGCATCGACCTGTGGACCAGAGAGCCCCAGGTTCGGTTCCTGCTAGGGGCACGTACCAAAAAAAATAGTAAAACAGTCCATCCCAATCTCCAAATTTTTCTGGTATAGTTCCTTCCAGCAGACATGTTACAGAAATTAATTAGCATTAGAGATTTTATATTAGTCAGATTTTTGATCCATGCAAAGCACGCCACAACTCCTTGGCTTATAGGGCTCCACCAGTAACACCTGCATAAGGGTTTTTTAACGCAGAGTTATTTTCTGGGAGGCTTGCCACACATAGTTACTCACATTTACTTTTTTTTTTTTCATGGTAGTTTCCACTTTGGATTTTTCATTTTCTGATCTTGACTCTCATGTTGTAGAGATGCAATTTATCCAACTCTGCCTGATGATCCATTAGACATCTCGAGTTGGATATTTCAGAGGCATCTCTCCAAAACGGAATTCTCGCTCTGCCTCCCTCAAACGAACTGGTTCCGCCCCAGGTTCTTCATACGTATAAGCACGTGGTATCGCGGTTCACACGTTGCTCCAGCAGCAATCCACGAGTTGTCTCTGATCCCTTCCGTGGCCTTCCCCTGTGCATCAAAGCTGTTTTCAAGTTCTGTTTTCCCTTTTAAATATCTGTCTCATTCTACATTGTTCTTTACTTAGCAGCAAGAATGGCCATATTTTTAAAAAATTTACTTAATAACCTTTCAAAACACAAATCTGATCATGGCTTTATTTTTTTATTTTTTATTTGTTTATCCTCACTGGAGGACACTTTTTCATTTTTTGTTCAGGTAGAGTGGGAGGAAGAGAGAGAGAGAAACATCGACGTGAAAGGGACACATCGAGTGGCTGCCACCCGCACGACCAACCTGGGCCGGGGACAAACTGCAACCGAGGTACGTGCCCCTAGCAGGAACTGAACCCGGGTCTCTCCGGACTGCAGGCCGACGCTCTAACCGCTGAGCAAAACTGGCCAGGGCCTGATCATGGCTTTAGAATAAAGTTCAAATTCATTATCATGGCCTCACATGATGTCTCCCTTCACTGCCCTCCATCATTTATTTTTCTCGCACACAAGCCGCTCTGGCTTTCCTTCTGTCCTTTGGTACTTTTCACGGAGCTCAGTGGTTCTCAACTAGCACCCCTGCCTTTTTTTTTTAATGACAAATACTTTGTAACATCCTCATTACTGTCCTCAAAAAAATGCAGTTCAGTGGTAACATACTATACCTACACACAACTTTAGAAATACATTTAAATTGAAGAAATACCAACTTTTAAAAAAGGGAAATAAAAAGTATGTAATTTGGGCACAACTATACTACAAGACCTAAATAAGTAGTCAGATATTTACATCTACATAAAATGAATAATTTGAACTTAAAAGAAGGTTGGAGATCAAAAGCTATTTTGTACAAAGAAGTGTGAGAAAGTGAAACAGCCGGGATACAAGTAGACATTAGAATAAAAACTAGTGATATAATAACTTATTTGCATATGCTAATACTTATTTCTATAAGAACTTAGTTATAATAAAGATACTATGCAAGAAAATGTATAGATTGTCGAAATGGAGAAAATGAGGACATATTTTGCAGACGAGCTATAGGTCATACACGAATGTCTAGTGAGACATTCAAAATTCGTACAGGGTGCAGAATAAATAATTCCTTACTGTGAAGAACTGTCCAATGTATTGCGAAATGTTCAGCATACTTGGCTCTCACATACTAAATGCCAGTTGCACCCTCCCCTCCCCCCAGTTATGGTGACCACCACAAACTCTATCAGATCTAGTCACCTTTTTCAGAGCAGATATTTTGTAACATCCCCTTCCATGTCCTGAGATGATTTATACATAATGCAGTCTACTGACACACATGCATATCTTTAAAAATCAATTTACTGTCCTAACTCTATTATAGTGGAGAAACAGGAGGAAAGAAATTTGTAATAAAAATAAATTGAATTTCATTATGTATATGCTCCAGCATGACTATGCTATACGACATGAAATAGCTATTTACTCCTACTTAGAGTGAAAGGTTTGGATTTAAGAGTCGATCAGAGGCTACTTCCTGTAAAGAAGTGCAGGAAAGCCTGGCTAGTGTGGCTTAGTGGATTGAGCTTCATACCACGGACAGAGGTCCTGGTTCAATTGCTAGTCAGGGCACATGCCCGGGTTTCGGGCTCCATCCCCAGTGGGAGGCATGCAGGAGGCAGCCGATTGATGTTTCTTTCTCATTGGTGTTTCTGTCTCTCTCTTCCCCTCTCTCAAAAATCAGTAAAAACATCTTTAAAAGGAAAGTGCAGGAAAATGAAAGATAAGAGGTGTGCATGACACTAGAAATGAAGACCAGTATTAAGGTAAATCATAGCAGACCTTATACCTTATCTGTATGTGGTAAGGGAAAGAGCGAAATTGCTTTACTTTAAGAATGATAGGACAAGACAAATTACAGATTGTCCAAGAGGAAAAGATTTATTATATTCTCTCAGGCGAGCTATAGGTCCTACATAAATGTCCAGCAGGACATTAGAAACTCGTACGGTACAGAATAATTCTTCATTGTATGGGCTAACCCATACACTGCAGGACATCTGTTATCCCTGGCCGCATCCACTGAGTGCCAGTAATAGTCCCCAGTGATTATGAAACCAACAACCCATCTATTTCCAAAATAATCACACTGAGAACCACTGACAGTTAATATCTAGCATCTTGAGATTAGCTTGTTTACCTCCATAAGGAGTCCTATAGATTAGATTGGATGCTTGCCTCCCACATCCCCAGTTCTTAAAATACTTTGTGCCTTGCTTTGTTCATGTGTAGCATCTGCCCAACTTGAACTTGTCTCCTTTCCACATTAGAATGTAAGCTCCTTGCGGGCGAGTCAGCCTGCCTTGTTCACCTCATAGCTAGCCTGAGTGCTGATAACATAAATTTTGTTGAATAGAATAAGCTCACCTATATGTATTTCAGTAGTTGAGTTGTATCTCTTGTTCCTCAAGCTCAATTTGAGACTAATAAAAAGTAAATATTAATTTTGTTCTGCTACCTTTATTTGCTTTATTTCTAGGTATCTCCACAAGACAGTCAACTGCAGACACCAGTTTATTCCACAAGGGACAGAGAATGTATCTTGTCCCTTCCAGCTTTATCATTCCAGGACTCAGTGACCATGGAGAAGCCCGAAGTCGGTTGGCTCATCTTTTGTTTAGGGGCACAGAGAGGGAGGGCTGGAAGCTGCTAAGACACTTTCTTCCTGTGGTCAGGGGTGGGCCAGGGCCAGGCTGAGGCACAAAAGTTAAAAATGTATATGGTCATCAGAACGGTGCTGTCACACCATTAGAAGCCCTCATTCTTTAATCACAAAGCTAGGATAGAGAGAGGGGAGGAAAACCCCTATGTGGCAGTGTAGACTTGATTAACATGAAGGCAAAGTTGCCATTTGATTTGGACCTCAATGTAAATAAAACAATGGATAGCCAACCTGTTGCTGTCTGAGCACCCACATTCAAATACATGAAAATGCCATCAAACCAAGCATGAGCAGATGCTTGAGTTTTTCCAGTTAGTTATTTCTTCTGTTTATTTATTGACTGTTATAGCAGTGTCTCAAGTTTTCGGACATGTTTGCTATTCCCCAGGTTTTAGCCTCCCTCCTCTGGTTTTCATTTTTTGCTGAGTGATCTTATCAACACACAGCTTCAGATACCTAAGCCTTTGATGTCACTCATCTATATTCCCCTCCATCTTTTCTCAACTCATTTTTTTGAATTCTCACCTGAGGATATTTTTCCTTTTTTTTTCCCTTCAGATAGAGTGGGAGGGAGGAAGAGAGAGAGAGAAACATCGATGTGTCAAGACGCATCGATTGGTTGCCTCCTGCATGACCTGACCAGGGCCAGGTATTGAACCGAAACTGAGGTCCGTGCCCTTGATCGGATTCGAACCAGTGACTCTCTGGTCTGTGGCGTGATGCTCTAACCACTGAGAAACCGGCCGGGGCAACTCTAAACCTGAATGTACAACTGCCTACTGAGAATCTGATCTTGGATCAAATTGCAGGCTCCACATATATAAAAATTAAACCCTGGTTGGCATGGTACAGTGGTTAGAACATCTGCTCACACACTGAACGGTCTTGGGTTCCATTCCTGGTCAAAGGCATGTACCTGGCTTGCAGGTTCGATCCTGGCCCTGGTCAGGGTGCGTGTGGGAGGCAACCAATCCATGTGTCTCGTGTTGATGTCTCTCTCCCCCTCTCCTTCCCTTCCACTGTCTCTAAAAATCAATGTAAAACATATTCTTGGGTGAGGATTAACTAAGAAAAATTAAGATTAATCCCTCAAATCCTGTTGCTCTTCCATAATTCTTTGTCTTGCTTTTCTAGAAATCCTTTTTTTTTTTTATCCTCACCTGAGGACATTTTTCCATATTTTGTTTAGATAGAGTGGGAGGGAGAGAGAGAGAGAGAATCATCGACATGAAGGGACACATCGAGTGGTTGCCACCTTCATGACCCAACCAGGGCCGGGGACAAACTGCAACCAAGGTACGTGCCCTTATCAGGAACTGAACCCAGGCCTCTCTGGACCGCCGGCTGATGCTCTAACTGCTGAGCCAATCCGGCCAGGGCTAGAAATCCATTCTTAACTGTTGCCAGAGATCTTTCTACAATACCTGTCCTACAGTTTGGCCAGGTATTGTTTTAGGTTTAGGGATACAGCAATGAACATGACAAATGAACATTCCGCTTTCACGCACTTGCATTCTACAAATGCATAAATAAACGAGAAGGAAAATGATCAGTGCTAAGTTCCATGTAGAGACGGGGGAGCTACTTTAGATTGGGAGGTCAGGAAAGGCCTTGCTGAAGAGAAGACGAGAACGTCTAAGTTCAAAGTTGAAGGGGAAAAAAGGGAGATCTCTAGATTGGCGCAAAGCATTCTAGGTGGGGGATCATGTCACCTCCTGTCCCGACTGGAATTCCTGAAGTGACTTCCCAAAGTCTTTAGTTTATAACTTAGCATGGCAGAGGTCTCTGGCCTCTCGTCCGATGCCTTCCTCTAGTTTCTTTTTATATGATGGAACATTAACTCACTCAGTCCTCAGCACCCCCCGGTCAAATGGCAACCAGGCTAGTTGAATTCCCAGGTCATGTCTTGTTCATCTTTCTGCTAGGTCACTGCATGAGCAGTTGATTAAGTACATGTTCATTAAATGAGCACATTGTTGGGAAAAAGGATGACAGCTTAATCTGCAGGTCTAGACCCGTGTTGTCCATAGAACTATCAAGTGAGCCATGTAAATAATTATAGTGTTCTCACAGCTACCTCAGAATTGAAGAAGCAGATAAGCCCTGGCCAGTTTGGCTCAGCAGTTAGCGCAAACCAGAGAGTCCCGGGTTCGGTTCCCGCTAAGGGCATGTACCTCAGTTGCAGTTTGTCCCCGGCTCTGGTTGGGGCTGTGTGGGTGGCAACCACTTGATGTGTCTCTGTCACATCAATGTTTCTTTCTCCCTTCCTCCCTCTCTCCCTCCTGCTCTATCTGAAGATAAATGCAAAAATGTCCTCGGGTGAGGATAAAAAACAAACATGAAATTGTAATAGCATTTTATTCGAATATCAGCTTAACCTAATTAACAAAGTTATTAATGAGATATTTTGCACTGTTTTCCTTCTAAATCTTCGAATTTCTGCATATGGCATCTCAGAGGGCCTGTACTGACTACCTAAGGCCACCCGCCCTGCACCTTCTACCACATGACAGAGACACAGAGTCAGCCTGTTAACAGCTGTGGGCCAGCTCTGACAACAGACTGCTTACATTCCTGTATACCTGTTGGAATTTAGGATTAATTTCCAGGTGACCATTTCTCTGACTATCCCAGAAACAATGGCCGGGCACCACAGAACCCTAAGAGACTCCGCTTCTTACTTGCCCATGAATTTTCCAATCTGCTGCTCACAGCTAATCCGTGAGAGCAGGCACTTTATTTTTTACAAAATTTTATTCTTAAATGTACAACCGCCTCCAAGACAACACTGCATTCTAGCTATCGGTGGCAAAAGATGTATGACAAAGCCTCGGTTGCAGTTTGTCCCCGGCCCTGGTTGGGTCGTGTGGGTGGCAACCACTGGATGGGTCCCTTTCACGTCGATGTTTCTCTCTCTCTCTCCCCCCTACTCTATCTGAACAAAATGTCAAAAAATGTCCTCGGGTGAGGATAAAAAAAAAAAATGTATGACAAGGAATCCAGATGTTGAAACAGGGATGGAATTGAGGATCCCCGTTATCCCAGGCACAAGGAACAGCTCGCTTTTTGCCAGATCTCATCATTCCACCTGTGGCCAGGGGTTAATTCTCTGCCGCCTTCCATTTTAGCTCAAGTTTCTTCTTCCTCTTTTGCTTCTGCCTGAATGCCTTGTCTTCCTCGTCCACCTTCGTGGGCTGCTTGTGGCCACCTTCGCTGCCGGTCATGGCGCCTGTGGCCCCTCCCCAGGAGCAGACACTTCTTCCTTGCAACTTCTTCCATCCCCTCTGTCTGGAGCGGAGGTAAAGCCTTTCCCTCCGGCTTACATCTTTCTCCGCCCTATTCGATGTGTAAGAAGGCTTGCGAGCCCTCCAGCCTGGTAGCTCATTGTTAGCATTTGTTCCCAATCAACCAAGGTGGAGGGTTCAATCCCCAGTCAGGTCACATACAAGAAGCACCCAACGGATGCATAAAGAAGTGGAACAACAAATCTGTGTCTTCCCTATCTCAAAAAAAAAAAATCGTTATAAACAACAACAAAACTCTTGCGAAACTCCAGTGGGACAGACATGTTGCCTTTCCAACCTAGCATGCTGCTGGTGGTTCAGGCCCTACGTCCCCAAGACTGTCTTATTATTGTTTTTTTTTTGCTATCAAAGGCCTAATAAACCCTTTCTTTTCCAAAGACTTCAGCCCTGGAAGTTAAAATTCTTTGTTTAGCTCACATTCCCTATTTCAGCTTTGCAGCCCTTACCACTCCCTCGTATTCTGTCATTTGTTTGCGTGTTGAGACTCCCCCACCGTCCAGGTCCCCGAGACGGGGACGCACCCGGACCCGAGCCTGGCACAGAGCAGGCGCTCAGTACATTCGGTGCCTGCGGGTCCGTCCAGGGGGCCCCGCGGGCCCCGCCCCCGCCGCCGGCCCGACCCTCCCCGCCCCCCCGCCCCCGCCGCCGGCCGGCCCGAGTCGGGCGGTGGGTTTGGCAGCGTGGACGTGACTGGGAGGAGCCTCCGGCCTCGGGTTCCGCGGCGAGCATGGCGGAGCCCACCGTGTGCTCCTTCCTCACCAAGGTGCTGTGCGCCCACGGCGGCCGCATGCTCCTGCGGGACCTGCGCGCCCACGTGGAGCTCTCGGAGGCCAGGCTGCGGGACGTGCTGCGCCAGGCCGGGCCCGACCGCTTCCTGCTGCAGGAGGTGGCGGTGCGGGACGGCGTCTGGGACGCCGAGGCCGAGGTGGCGGCCGGCGCGGCGGGCGCGGGTGGCGGCGGCGGCCCCTCGGCCTGGAGGGTGGTGGCCGTGTCCTCCGCGCGCCTCTGCGCCCGCTACCAGCGCGGCGAGTGCCAGGCCTGCGACCAGCTGCACTTCTGCCGTCGTCACATGCAGGGCAAGTGCCCGAACCGCGACTGCTGGTGAGGCCCGCGGGCCGGGCGGCGGGGGCCGGGCGGCGGGGGGCCGGGCGGCGGGGGCCGGGCGGCGGGGGGCCGGGCGGCGGGGGCCCGGGCGGCGGGGGCCGGGCGGCGGGGGGCCGGGCGGCGGGGGGCCGGGCGGCGGGGGCCGGGCGGCGGGGGGCCGGGCGGCGGCGCGATCACCGCGCCCGGCCCGCGGGCCTCACCCGTCAGGCTGGAAGCGGGACCCGAAAGAGATGAAAAAGGGGGGTCTGTGCCCGGGATCGGCCACCCCCTCGGGAAGGGCGGAAGGGAAGCCTCGGGAAGGGGCCCCTCTGGGTCCTCGGGGGGAGGCCTGCCCTTCGCCCCCAGCTCCCGTGCGGAACGAGGCCGAAGCTAGGCCCAATTCGGATTTCTTAGCCGCCCCCCGCCCCTGACCCGGGTCCTCCACAACCGGCCGGGGTAAATCAGGATTGGGACTGAGGAGTTCATTTACTCCAGCGATGCTTTGGGGGGCATTTGCGGATCCCTTTAGATCCTTGGACCCTTTATGCAGAGATCGCCTCTTCCCACAAGAGCACAAAGTTTCACGGAAGCTGGTCTGTGCCCTCTGGGTTTAGAGAGACCGATCCAGTCCGACCCCCAGGGGTGGATTATTTGGGAGAGGTCGTCCCAGGCCTCCTCTGTTTACTCAAGCTCCCCAAATCGGGGATGGGGGCAAGCTTTCTTTTAAATGGTGGTGGCACGTTGGTGGCCTGTGGGGGGTAGGCAGCTGTTTGGGGTGGAGAAGGCAAGTGCAGTCACCTGCAGAACAGGTGGGCATGCTCTGCCAAGGCAGGTGACAGGGTGAGGGTACCCTTGGCTTTAAAGCATCCTCATGTAAAGTGAAAATGGCCCTGGGTGGGAATTTGCTTCAACTCACCTTTCTTTTTTCTTTTTTTTTTTAATCCTCACCCGGGGACATTTTTTCATTTTTTTGTTCAGATAGAGAGGGAGGAAGAGAGAGAAACATCGATGTGAGAGGGACACATCGAGTGGCTGCTACCTGCACAACCCAACCAGGGCCGGGGACAAACTGCAACCAAGGTACATGCCCTTAGCAGGAACCGAACCCGGGTCTCTCCGGACCACAGGCCGACGCTCCAACCGCTGAGCCAAACCGGCCAGGGCTAACTCAGCTTTCTTAATAGGAGAGGTTATTAGGCTGTAGTATCTAGGGGTTCCTGGCAAATTGTTGATTAACTTCACAAGCAACCCGAAATTGGCTTAGGCAAAGACTTTGGCAGGCTGGCGCCTTCTTCGCCTGGGCCTCTGATCCGGAGCTTTGTGTCCCAGGTCTACCTGCACTCTCTCCCATGACATCCACACGCCTGTCAACATCCAAGTCCTGAAAAACCACGGGCTTTTTGGCCTCAATGAGGCCCAGCTTCGGATTCTGCTTCTACAGAATGACCCCTGCCTTTTACCAGAGGTGAGTCACAGAGGAGTCACCCTGATACTGTTCACCCCTGAAAGAAGTCAGAGCAGAGCATGGCAGCCTGGGATGTATAGGGGGGGTGGTGGTGGCAACTTTTCTGGAATCTGTGATTTTACTGGACTTTGATATACAGGGAATGATGGGCCCCTGTGGTGTAGAAATAGAAATAATAATCATGGCTACTGGCTTTTTGAGTGCTTAGTAAATGCTAAGCAATTTATATACCTTAGCTCATTTAGTAACCTGGCCCCATTTTACAGGGGAGGAAACTGAGTCTCAGATATAGATTAAATAACTTGCCTAAGGTCACATAGTAAATGGTGGATTTGAATTTAGGTCTATGACACCTGTGTTTTGTGAATTGCCTGTTTTGCTTTTGCCTATTTTTTTATGGTGGCATTTGTTTTTTCATGTTAATTTATAATGTTTTTTAATGCTAGAACTTTCTTTTCTGGTCATATTTGTTACAAGTATTTCCCCCCACTTACTTTTTTGGAGGCCTTAGATATTAATTTTAATTGCTTCGAAACAACAGGATTTAGTTTCAGATGCTTAAAAAGTACCCATTATAACTGCTATATGACGAAGTTAGTATGTTTGTATCTGTTTTGATAGCCACAAAGAATTTTAAAAAATAAAATAGTTGGGCTCTGGCTGGGTGGCTCAGTTGGTTGTAGCATTGTCCCTACACCAAAAAAGGTTGTGGATTTGATTCCTGGTCAGGGCACGTACAGGAGACAACAGACCCATGTTACACTCTCTCTCCCTTTTTCCCTCTCTCTTAAATCAACAAACATATTCTCAGGTGAGGATAAAACGAAATAAAATAGTTGGAATCCCAAAAGAAAATTTTACAAAAGACCACCAATTAAAAGTAGTGGCACAATGATTCTACCACAGATACTCCCAAGTTGCCAGAAGAGAGCTGAGAAGAAGGGAGGGTGTTGGGAAATTGAGGCTAGTTCATGACGCTGGTCCCATTTTAACTCTGAGATTGAGGGGTACAGAAGGGAAGAAGGCCCCGAGCTGGGGCCTTTGGTTCAGATGGCAGAGGCTGCCCTCAGGGCAGCAGTCTGTACCCACCGCAGCACAGGAGTCGGCCTTAGGAGCCAGGAGGTGTCTTCTTGCCGCCCATCTCCTTTCTCGGTCCTTCACGTTTTGAAGCCAGGTTTGGTGTATCATGAGCCAGATACAGTCCAACCATGTTGCCAGGAGGGACACGATGTCTGATCATCTTTTGTGTGTGAGGTTAAGATTGATTAGTGGTTTCAGGGTTGGCAGCCTGACCCATCATTACAAAGGTCCCCACCAGGAGGATCTTGGTTTGCCTCGGACAGACCCGGTTTACATTAGTGACCCTAATGTAATTATTAATAGTGCGCCCTAGGAAAATGCCCTTGTCTGTATGATAAATTATATGTTCACACTACTTATCTAAGTTGGTTTCCCTGGAGGCAGAACCTGACCTAGGGATTTAGATGCATGTGATTTCTTTTTTTTTTTTCTTTATTGATTTTAGAGGGAGAGGGAGAGAGATGGAAACATTGATGAGAGAGAACATGGATTGGCCGCCTCCTGCATGCCCCTCACTGGGGATTTGGCCCACAGCTTGGGCATGTGCCCTGACCTGGAATCGAACCGGTGACCTCTTGGTGCATGGGTCGATGCTCAACCACTGAGCCAGTCCGGCTGGGCTGCATGTGATTTCTTGAAGGAGGGCGCCTTGCAAAAACTCTGTGAGGTAGCCCTGGCTGGTTTGGCTCAGCGGTTAGAGCGTCGGCCTGCGGTACGGAGAGACCCGGGTTCGGTTCCCGCTAAGGGCGCATACTTCGGTTGCAGTTTGTCCCCGGCCCTGGTTGGTCGTGCGGGTGGCAGCCACTCGATGTGTCCCTTTCACATCGATGTTTCTCTCTCTCTCTCTTCCTCTCTCTCCCTCCCACTCTATCTGTACAAAAAATGGAAAAATGTCCTCAGGTGAGGATAAAAAAAAACAAGAAAAAAAAACTCTGTGAGGTAAAAGAGAGGGAGGCAGGTTACAGGGAAGAAAAAGCTACAAGCAAGGCAAAGTCAGGCCTTGACTTGATTCACTTCTGGAGCAGAAACCACACTGAAGAGTTGTTCCAGCCTTGAGTACCTGCATAGAATCCCCTCATTAGCTACAGGCTTTGGGAGAGGGGGGCAGATCAACTGAGGGTCAAAGTCAGGGGAGCAGCTGTGGGTTTGGAACAGCTGGGGGAGATCTGGGAGGGAGTACTCTAACGCGACCCGTCTGCCTTTCACCCAGTGATTGTAACAGCTGTTGATGACCAGAAGTTGCCAGTCAGAGAAAACTGTCATCTGTTGGCTTAAGAGAGACAGTGCAAACCAATGTTTTCAGTGTCGCCTTACTTCTCTCCCAGGTCTGTTTGTGCTACAACAAAGGTGAAGCCCTGTATGGTTACTGCATCCTCAAGGACAAATGCAACAAGTTTCACGTGTGCAAGTCTTTTGTCAGAGGAGAGTGCAGGCTTCAGAAATGCAAACGGTCCCATCAGCTCATTCATGCGACATCCCTGAAGCTACTGCAGGACCAAGGACTGAATATTCCCAGTGTCGTTAATTTCCAGATCATCTCTACCTACAGGCACGAGAAGCTGCATAAAATGCTTGAAAATAAAGGTGAGACTGTCAGAGGTAGACCAAGCTCCGTCACTGGTGTACTTTTTTTTTAAATCCTCACCTGAGGATATTTTTACATTTATCTTCAGACGGAGTGGGGACGGGGATGGGGGGGAGAAGCAATGACGTGAGAGAGACACATCGATTGGTTGCCACCCACGCAACCCCAACTGGGGCCGGGGATGAACCACAACCGAGGTACATGCCCTTGGCCGGAATCAAACGTGGAATCAAACGTGGGACTCCCTGGTTCACAGGCCAGTGCTCTAACCACTGAGCAAGACTGGCCAGGGCATCACCGATGTAGTTTTAACCTGAAAGTAAGTGTGGGGAGAAAGTACTTTATGTAGTTAGTTCTCTGTCCTAGGAGAAGCTCAGGACAGTCCAAGTTTTATGATACAGAACTGTGATTCCAACCAAAGGAGGGAAGGGATGGAGTTTATTTTCGGGGCTGCCAGCTAATAACACCTGCTAAGTGTTTGAACAGTGTAGCTCCTTCGTAAGTTGGGGGTCAGGAAGTAGGTAGAGCAGTCTTAGCTTCGTTAGGAAAAAAGAGGAGGGAGATGGGCCAGTGACTAGAAAGGTAAGGATAATGTAGGGATGGCTTTTTAAAAATTAAACTGAATTCAAGTGTTGTTTTTTTTTAATTGTTAGGAAATTTTAACCGCATTACTGAAAATTTTGGTTAACAGAGTGGAGGTAAAAATTGTATATGACTCCACTCATTCTAATGCACAATGACTGTTACTATTTACCTGCAAGCCCTTCGGTTTTGTTATTATACAAAGACTAGTCCCGTTGTGGTCAAAGTATGTATGGGTTTAGCATCTGAAGTTGTCACTTTATACAACATCATACCCATCTTCCCATCTTGCTGCTTGGTCTGTGACTTTTTAAGGTCTACAAAGTATGATTTGGTGTTCTTCCCATTGTAATGCATTCAGGTTATTTATTCTATTAGATTTGTCTGTAGCTGAAAATCAGTTTCACTGGGTGGGAGACTCAGGAGAGTTGTTGATGGGAAAACCAAATAATTAAATCAGAGTCTCTGCCCTGTCCAGTTTGGCTCAGTGGTTAGAGCGTCGGCCTGCGGTACGGAGAGACCCGGGTTCGGTTCCAGCTAAGGGCACGTACCTCGGTTGCAGTTTGTTCCCGGCCCTGGTTGGTCGTGCGGGTGGCAGCCACTCAAATGTGTCCCTTTCATGTCGATGTTTCTCTCTCTCTCTCTCTCTCTCTCTCTCTCTCTCTCCCACTCTGTCTGAACAAAAAATAGAAAAATGTCCTCGGGTGAGAATAAAAAAAAAAAAATCAGAGTCTCTAATTTACATGGACTTTTCTTACATTGGGATGGTGGTGGCAGGTGGTGTGAAGGTAGAGGGGACTCTGCATATACCAGTGTCAGGGGCTGTCTAGGGAACCCTGAATGGTGGCAGGGACCTTCTACTCTATATTATGTATGGGGCCTGTTGTTGTCTTTATCTGGTCTTGTTTAGTGGCTTTCTCCTAACTATGAAATAGTTTCTTTCTGCTTGCTCTGTGTGTGTGTGTGTGTGTGTTTAATCTATTTTATTATTTATTTATAATCCTTACCTGAGGATATTTTTTCCTTTGATTTTTTAAGAGAGAGTGGAAGGGAGGGAGGAAGGAAGGAAGAGAGGGCTAGAGAGAGAGAGAGAAACATTGATGTGAGAGAGACACATCAATTGGTTGCCTCCTGCACGATCCCAACTGGGGCCATGGATTGAACCTGCAACCCAGGTACGTGCCCTTGACCGGAATCAAACCTGAGACTGGTTTGCAGGCCGATGCTCTAACTGCTGAGCCAAATGGGCCAGGGCAGTTTAATATATTTTAAACCCAGAAGACCCAAGCTCTCCAAATTCAGAGTTTTGTCTGAGGTCTGATTTGCTGGACTGATGCTCCCATAATAAAATGAAATTTAGAAATGATAAAAGAGGTATCGTAGTAGGAAACCTCATCTCTTTCTTTTTCCTTTTAGATAATTCAGCTTCTGCTGAGCATTCACAGGGCCTTGAGAAGCAAGGAGGGCCCGTTCCTGGGGCCGCAGAAGCCCGTCCCCTGGTGTCTGTCCCTGCCCAGTCGGCCAAGAAGCCATGCACAGGTAAACCCTAGAGGACGTCTGTGAAGTCAGAAGAAGCTTGTCCAGTTGGAAGGTCTGAAAACAAAGCTGCTGTTGAGCTCCGATTTGTCACCGTTCATTCATTTAATTATTTCTTTAAAATACCTACCTCACAGGGTGTTGTGAGAATTAAAGAAGATGGAAAAGGAGACCATGTCAGATTGGGAGGCTAAGGTTGGGGATGAGGTTGGGCGTTCAGCAGGCAAAGAGGGGGTAAAACCTGAGTGTGGTCGGGGCCAGTGCAGGCCCAGTGCAGGCCCAGCCCCGGGCAGGGCAGTTCCTGCCTGCAGTTCCTGGGAGCTTTGCCCTGCTGGCTCTTAAAGATGCAGGCTTCTGCTGACTTGCTCTCTGACCCAGCCATGTGTGCCCCTGTATACAGTTTGAGTACGTCAACTTCATATTCTTTTATTTTTTACGTCATGTGCCATAAGCACTTTCCCATGTTGTTCACGTTTACCACGCATGATCATTTTTATGCACAGATACACTAATATATCATAGTTTACCTAACTGTGTCCCTTATTCGGGGATATTTTGATTCTTTCTAACAAACTTTGCATAGAACTCTTTTCTTAAAGTCCACACAATGTTGAATTTTTAAAGTTAGTCTTGCTCAGCTTAACTTTGCGAAATGATACTGTCTTTTGATTTGCATTTCTTTAAATATATGTGCAAGTGAATATTTTTTTCTGTGTCTGCTTTCTGTAAGGTCTTTACTTTGTGCATTTTGTACATGCCCTTTAATTGCTGGGGCTTGTGATTACCTCCTCTGTGCCAATGTGGGATGGCCTTTAATTAGGCTCCTTAATTTTTATAAAAGGATATCAACCGTACTGTGCTCATGTAATGTCCATCTCTTGTGGTTGCATCTTCAGGCAGCTCAGAGACTATATAACTTTTGGGTGCTCGCCAGAGATTTCTACCTCACTTCTACTCTGCTCTTATGAAACTTTGACCAAAGCCCAGTTGCTATGGTTTGAAGGATGTGTAGTTCATCCATTCCTCAAAATTGTATCCATTCTTTTATGGATCAGGATGGACCATCAGAAGTCTATATACCTCGCCCATTTCATGTTGACTTTCCCCTTCCTCTCCTCTGTCTTCCCCCACCCAGATGTCTTCATTGAGTGATGCTTAGATGTTTGGTTCTTTGTTCTCATCCAAGGGTACCACAGAGAAAGGCTATATGGACTCCCTCCCTGTGTTTGCTGTGGTAGTATCCCCAACTGTCTGTGTGGGAAGTGTTTTTAGAAATAGTTAACTGTCCTGCAATAACATGACATTTGAGAAATAGGGGCAAGGTAGTGAGTTTTTCATAAAGCTAAATTCATTTAATTTAGAAAAATTTTTGTCATGAAATTCTGTCTTTTCTATTGAGGGAGGGGTCCAAAAAATGTCCCCCGGAAAGGGAGAAATTGCTGCGTTCTCTCCTAATGGACAGTAAAAGTCATGCAACTTATGTGCATCTTTCTACTTTGGTTGTTCACTACGGTGTTTCTGAAAGCCCTACCTCCTGTATGTCTTGTTTCTTTTGACCTAGTTCTGATTCTCCAGGTGCTAATATTTTTTTTTAAATTATTTTTACATTTTATTATCATCATTTGCATTATATTCTTCACTACGTGTACTTTTGTTGTAAGCCATGTTCAGTCCTTAATGGAAACAGTATAGTATATCCATGTATATCCTTTACATTAAGAGACTTGGTAGACTTTTATATTATTGGGTTTCTTTTATATCTTATATATCTTATAATTATGCATTTATAGGTGAAGTTATTGACCCTCTGCAATCTTTGTTGCAATATTTTATTCAGTTCTATAATATTCCATTTTAATCTTAGTTCTTTGCTAGTCCTTCTGTAAGAGTATTTTATGTAATTATACCTGTCTGTCTGATTTCCATCGATGGTCAGCTGTTACAGTTACCATGTTAGACTTGGACATGAGTTTTCTTTGGCAGTTTATTGGCGTTTATGAGAGGAAGCTGCGTGTCTCTAGGCTCCACAGATTCAACATGCCCTAAATTGATGATTACTTTTTCTCCAGACTTCTTCCTCCTCTTGTTTTTTTTTATTTTAGAGTGTCGCTACCTAATGACGTAAGCCCCAAACCTGCAAATTGTCCCTAATAGTCTTCTTTCTCCTTGTTCCCAGTGTCAGATTACTTACCTAGTGTTGGAGACTTTTTCCCCCTGAAAAATCTCTCAAATCTTTATCCTCCTCTGTCTCTGTCTTCTCACCCCCCCTACATACTGCCTTGTTTCAGACCCTCATCACCTCTCACAGAACTCAGCGGTTTTTGTGGGCCTTGCTAGATGACTCCCCTTCAGTGATGGGAGCCCCATTTCAGTTTTTAATGTAACGGACTTTTGTGGATTTCGTTGATCCCCTTACCGCCCTTCTCTCCTTCTGCCTTCCCTTCTGCTGTCTAGTTGATCTTTTGGAATCCAGACGCTCATCATATTGCTTTTTCCTGCCCTCGCCTTTATCGGTCCCTGTCACGTAGAGTAGGAGTCATAACCTGAGACAGCTCCCGGGACCCCCAGGAAGGTGAGTTCGCAGATGCAGTGAGCTGGATGTAAGAGCAATGGGGGGAGGAAGTCTGGGGCACACTGGCCCATGTGGAAGGGGCAGCTGCCTCTCCTTCCCATGCGGGAATGTGGTCCAGTTGGTCATATTGTCCAGTTTGACAAAAGAAGCCAGAAATGCAGATTTTTTTTTTTTTTTATCCTCACCCGAGGACATTTTTTTTTTTTTTTTTGTTCAGGTAGAGTGGGAGGGAGAGAGAGGAAGAGAGAGAGAGAGAGAGAAACATCGATGTGAAAGGGACACATCGAGTGGCCGCCACCCGCACGACCGACCAGGGTCGGGGACAAACTGCAACCAAGGTACATGCCCTTAGCGGGAACTGAACCCGGGTCTCTCAGGACCGCAGGCTGATGCTCTAACCGCTGAGCCAAACCGGCCAGGGCCAGAAATGCAGATTTTTATGAGAAATTTTAAATACTGAGTTTTGAAAATGCAGACCAGTATGGTGTGGACTGGCCCACACGTAGTGGTCGGAACAGGCCGTCCTGTGACTCTGTGCTTGTAAGTTCGCTCCCCTTCCCGCCTGCCTTAATCAACACCCGGTGAAATCAGATTCCTGAAAATGCCGAGTGAACCTTTCCTGACCCCAGGAGAGTGCTCAGAGCTCTAGCACAGCACTTACTTTCTTACGCTGTAGTCCCTTGTGTTCTTATCCCCTAGCTTTGAGCAAAAACATTATTTATTCTTCTCGGTAATTCTAACACTTGGTAGTTAGATATTTTTTGCCATGTAACGAGTTAAACTCTCTCTTTGAATCCACTATGAATCAGTGTCATATTGGTCTACATTGTTCTTTTTCTTCCCATATATATATATTTTTAATATTCAAAAAATCTTTTCCTCCCTAAGGAATGTTTTATATAAGGTAAACATCTCCTTAATGTGTCGATTTGAATCGCTAGATCTAAAGTGAATACCTCAAGAAAATATTTCTTTTGGTGAATTGCCTTTGTTTTAACAGTGTTAGAAGGCCTATATGTTTTTCCTAAAATTATAGCTGCAAAAAAATTTGTCTTTTCTTATGTATCTCTATTTTGTGTTAAATAAAATTGTGATAAAAAGATATTTTTTGATATTTCTTCATGAAGTATGAAGGTAATTGTTAGTTTTAAACAATTGTTATCTACTTAAAGGAAATAACATCTATTGTTTGTTAGAAGCTTTTAGTAGGTATTGGTATCTTTTGATATAATCATATAATTTTTATCATTTAAGTTACCCAATATGATTATATTAATGGTTATCACTATATTGAAACATCCTTAAATTTTGAGTAAACTCTACTTGATTATGGCATTATATTCTTTTGATATATTTTCTCCCTGATTGATAACTTTTATTTTAAGTGTATACATCTATACATTTATAAATAAAATTCATTTATATTTTATGTGTGCATATGGTAATTTTTTTGTTTTTATTGCTGTATACTCAAAGTATAATTATTTTCTGAGTGCTGTTTTGTGTTCTTGTAAATTGATTTGTAATGTCATTATTTTTATTTTTTCCAGTTTTATTGAGATATAATTTACATATAACACGTGGAAGTTTAAGGTGTGCAAGCTATGATTTGACTCATGTACACCTACAAAACGATTATCACAATAAGGTCAATTAGCCCATCCGTCACCTCACATTCATTATTATGTTAAAAATAATGTACATGTATAACATTGACTTACTCTCTCTAGTATTATTTAGGAACAGTGTTCCAAAAGATTTTTTTGGAAAATATAATAATATTTTGGAGAATACAGGAATGTATTAAGAAGTAAGTAATAATCACCCATAATACTACTGTATCGAGACAGTCACTTGTTAATACTTGAGGATATCTTTTTTAGTTATTTTTTTCATGCACATATTCTTAAATATTGAGGGTGTACCATATATACAGTTTTACAGTATGCTATTTTGGAGTAATATTATTTAGTAAGTATTTTCCTACATAATTAAAAGCATTCATAATTATGCTTGATGGTTTTATTATGTTTTTTATGTATCATGTATTTAATCACAGTCCTATTGTTGGATATTGTTTACTACATTTTGGTACATAAATCTTTGTCTGCATTTCTGATTATTTTCTTAGAATAGATTTCTAGATGTGAACATACTGTTCCAGAGATAGGAATATTTTAATAATCAAAAAGTATTTCAAAATTGTCTACCAGTGTGGCTAGACCATTTACACTCTCAGCAGCCTGGGGTAGCCGCTCTTCAATGGCATCTATTATACACACGTTCTGATGGAAGAGACAGAATACCTTTTGTTTCTAAGGAGTTGTTCTGAGCAGATATTTAGAAAAATACATTGGTCCCTGGCTGGTGGCTCCGTGGTTAGAGTGTTGGTTCGCTTCCCAGTCAAGGGCATGTACCTGGGTTGCAGGTTTGATCCCCAGTCCCAATCCGGGCATGTACGGGAGGCAACCAATTGATGTGTCTCTCTCACATGGATATTTCTCTGTCTCTCTCTCCCTCCATCCCTTCCACTCTGTAAATATTAATAGAAAAAATACCTGGGGTGAGGATTAACCATCCCCCCAAAAGAAAAATACACTGGTGTTAATTGCAACTTAGTTACACATTAAAAGCTATCTTTTAATCTGTTTTTTTATGCAATAACATAATTGTGTTATATGCAATTTCTGATGTTTTATCTTTACTAGATTTCCTTTTTGCTTGACATTTGCATGGTTACGTTTTGTGTGTGTGTGTGTGTGTGTGAATTGATCATGCATTTAGCTTACAAAGGTAAATTTTTATTCCCATGGTGCCTCAGTGGTGCTCACTCTCAAATGTTTATCTCCCAGATAAATTTTTGTTTTATTCAGAAAGTGAAACTGCCTCCCTCTAATGCACAGAGCAAGCTCTCGGCTCATTGAAATGCCTGCTAACCTGAGTTGACTATGTCTGCTTTCAAGTTTCGGAGGGGCAGCTCTGACCAGTGACAACTTGGAAATTCCACAGACAGACCTTCCTTTGGCTCGTATTCTCCTCCAGTCCCATCAAACCGGAAGACAGACAGATTTTCCATAAAGCGTTTTCCTTATTTGATCTCTCAGCGCCATATGTTCACGTTGCTCCCTCTGGTCTCTCCGGGCGCTGGGCTTCCTGACACCTGAGTCTTGCTTCCTGAAACAATGTCTAGCTTGGCTTCTTTTGGTCCCTGCATCTCTAGCCATAAGCCCCTGCACCCACTTGAACCCCATTCCTCAGGTGTAGCCGATCAGGTGAGATAGGAAGGAATTTTCCAAGTGGCTGCGTTCCCGGGCTCCCCGTCACCCCTAGCCGGCTGAGGTAGTTTCTGCCCTGAGCACAAGGCACAGCGGCAGGAGATGCTGGCCGCGGGCAGGTTGCTCTGTGCTAGTTATCTGGGTGACAGAGGCCAGCATGGAGTCCTCACCACACAATTACCCTGGCATCATAGCCCACCGTCCTCTTCCTCCGCTCCAGGACTCTGTAGAGAATCCAGTGAGTGTCCAGACTGCTCCAGGTCCAAGAAACGGCATCAGTCAGGGCTCACACGTCACGTACAGATGTATCATCAAGACAGTGAGGTTATACTGCAACAGCAAAAGACCATCACGCCTCATGACATAGCAACAAAGATTTACTTTGCACTTGTGTTCATCATGGTTCAGTTCTGTCCCATGTCCTCTTCGCTTTGGGACCCAGGTTGACAGAGTAGCCCCCATCTGGACCAGGCAGGAAGAAACCCCAAGCTGGCTGACAGGGTCTACTGTCATTGCATTGGTCAAAGCAAATTACATGGCCACCCTGTGCACAACAGGGTGGGGACATGTAATCCTACACCGAGGGATAGGCGGGTCCCAGGCCAGGCCTAATGCCAGTGTGCAAGGACGATAATGTTCAGGAGGCAGCGGGAAGTATTGTTAATTATATAATACAGTCACCCACAGGAGGCAGCTCAGACAGGGGGCCTTGTGTTGTCATGGCGGGGGGTTCCTTTTAAGAATGCTGTAGAACTTCTCATGTTGGCATACTTTTACTGTTTCAATTGAGATGTGCCAATACGCTGACAATGGAGGCAACCAAGACACTGCAGAGTTCTGGTTCTGGCCAGCAGCTGGAGGGACCCAGATCAGCACTGAGCATTTAATTCCGGAAGGACTTGAATGTGGGGCAGAGTGGCTACATCCTTCAGGCTGAGGTGTGGCTTAGGCTACGGTGACCAACTGTCCCTGTATGCACAGGCCTGAGGGTTTCGCAGAACAATGTCAGGCACAGCAGGGCACCTGGTCACCCTACCTTAGGTGATGTTCATGTTGTCTCTTTTTTCAACAATGGCTTCTTGTGCAGCTGGGTTGAGGAAGTAGGTTGATGCATTACGCAAGCATTTATAATCCAATTGAACCAGCAAAGTCTGGGAAGGTTTGTGTGCACACTTGTGCCTTTATCAGGTCAAGAAAAGCTCATGCTGTGGGAATGGATATTGCTTGTGATTCATCCAAAGAGGCAATTGATGCTATTTGTAAATCACCACAAGCAATCCAAATTGAAACAGACATGCCCTATAAAAACCACAGTATGGGCCCTGGCCGGTTTGGCTCACCGGTTAGAGTATTGGCCTGAAGACCAAAGAGTTGTGGGTTCGATTCCGTTCAAGGACACATACTTTGGTTGTGGTTCGATCCCTGACCCTGGTTGGGGTTGTGCAGGAGGCAACCAGTCCATGTCTCTGTCTCTGTCCCTCCCTCCCTCCCACTCTATCTGAAGATAAATGGAAAAATATCCTCGGGTGAGGATTTAAAAAAAAAAGGTGATGGTTGATGCCACCCCAGCCTCTGGGCCACGTTTTGCTTCTAAGATAATAGGGCAGGGATGGTTGGCAGATGGCAGGCCAAGGTCTTGAGACGTCACTCCTTTATAACCACTGAAGTCAAAGGTTTACCGGCAAAAGGACTTCATCACGGACCTTTGCACTGTCCCCTCCCCTG